GTTCATACAGGGTCAGACACTTGCCTTGCATGTGGCCAATCCTTATTCCAGTTTGGCATCACGGGGTCCCCCAAGCACCTCTGGGAGTGACTCCTGAGCACTGCTAGCTGTGGCCCCCCAACAGTAAACAAAAACATGAATTGTTTATCACCTTGAGAGAGAAAACACTAAGACAGTGGTGGGGCTGGTGGAGAGTGGGTCCCTCTGCTCCCTTCAGGCGCCTGGTTCTCCCCGTGAGCCTCCAGGCCGAGTGCAGGGAAGACCGAGGGCCGGGGCCTCTGCAGCGAGGTTCAGCCCTGCGCGGCTTCAGTCCTCTGGAAACTTCTCCAGGCGAGCCAGCCACCGCACCCTTTGGCGTCCGCTCAGAGCAAACGGCCCAGGGAGGGTTCTGGATCCCGCCGTGGTCGAGCCTCACCCATCCCTGAGTGCTCGCTCCCGAGGAGACGGTGTGATGTGGCAGGAGTGTTTCCCCCCGTTCCGTCTGGCTGTGAGGCGCGCCTGAGCTTTCAGGAACGGTGCGCCTGCAGGAACGAATGAGGCAGTCCTGGGATGACGGAACCCCAGCCAGCAGCTGACACGGCTAGGGACAACGTGGTACCCAGACTCCAAGACCTGAGGCCAGCCCCTCCCCTCCCTTCTCCTCCCCTCCCCTCCCTTCTCTTCCCTTCAGGTGGGAGGTACCAGATATGAGGTATGAAGTACCAGGTGTGACAGACCAGGTGTGAGGTGTGAGGCATCAGGTGTGGGGCATGAACTGTCAGGTGGGAGGTACCAGGTATGAGGCATGAAGTATCAGGTGCGACAGACCAGGTTTGAGGTGGGAGGCATCACACGTGTAAGATTCCAGGCATGAGGTGTGAGGTGTGAGGCAGCAGATATGAAGGGGGAGGTACCAGTTGCGAGGTAACAGGTTTGAGGTGTGAGGGACCATGAGGTCTTTGGGAAACACCTGGGTTCTAGGTCACAGAAACCAGATGCCGAGGGCCCACATGTCCCGAGTCCTTACGTGCTGTGAGGTCCAGGCCTCGCATCCCACCAGCCTTGGTTCGAATCCTACCACGTACAATCCCCTGGGCACCACCTGGGGCCACTCACAAGCACAGAGCCAGGGCGCGGCCCCCAAACCAGGGAAATGGCAAGACCCAGTTTTTGGTTGTTGGTTAAGGCTGTGTGCTGAGTGGGCCGTGCTGCTGCCAGTCGGACTGACGGACTCTTACCACTGTCTGTCGCTCCCTGTATTCCCCGCTCCTGCCCCCAGTAATTTGGGCCATCCAGAAGCTTCTCTTCCCTTCACGGTAGCTCCCCACTTTGGGGCAAATCCCTTGGATCCGTGGTGTCCCTGTTTCCCCAGGGTCCCTCTTTGAGTGTTTAGTCATCCCTGATCTTAACTGAATTTTATTTAGTTTTTTTTTTTTTTTTTGCCACATCTGGATGTGCTCAGGGATCACTCCTGCGGTGTTGGGGCTCGAACCCTGGTTGTTGTGTTCAAGACAATTGCCTTACTCGCGGGACTGTCTCTCCAGCCAGTTCTCTAAGAGTCTGTCGCTTCTGTGCCTGTTTCCCTGCTGGGGTGACTCCCTTTGGCCTCTCCTTCCCCTCCCGGTTTCCTCCCAGGGGAAACTGCCCCAGACTCTCTGCTCTGTTGGCGGTGGGGACAAGCCCCGGTGTGTGCCGGCTCGTGGGCAATATCAGGCTCCTCACTCCCGGAGGATGCATGCCCTCTGAGACTCAGTTCACACACCGGTACCTTCCCATGCCCGGGCAGCTGCTCACGCGTCTCTGTTCTCCTGCACAACTGTGGGCACGGGCGGGAGCTTTGCTGGGATGTGTCCAGGAGCTTCCTGGACTCTGTCCATCCCCCTCACCCCCGGGGTCTTTGTCTCTTCCCAACCCCCTTTGTGGCTCCGTTCACCTCCCCTCACTGGGGCCAGCTGCTGGCGTAGGACGACAGGCGTGCGCCAGGCCCTGACGGACCAAGCCGCAGCTCTGCGGGGAGGTGGCATCTGTTTTCAGCATCTGAGTCAATTTTACAAAGTACAAATAGGCCTTCAGCAGGAATGAAGGTCTTGGCAGGTGCCCGGCAAGCTGGAGTAATAACTCTGAGGTCCTGGTTCCAGGCCAGTGAGAACTCACTGCCTCTCCCTCCCCAGGGCCCGTGGAGCTCGGCTGGCCTGGAACTTGCTGGAATTGGCACATATAAGAGTACAGAATCTCTTTGGGACCCAGGCCGGGTTGAGGTGTGTGTGGTGGGGGAAGGGTCGGTGAGGGCTGGCACGTGGGAGCTACGTGAGGTGGGCGCAGACCCCAGCCCCTCTGCTCTTTGCACCTGAGCCCCGGTGTGGGTCTGAGCGTTTCTAGACTCATCGTTCCCAGCTGTAAAGTGGGAGGCAGGAGGGCCGCCCTTCCTGGGAGCAGGCGGGGACACACAGAAGCTCACCCCCGCTGAGGCCCGAGACCAGGAGTGGGTTCAGTCAGTGCTTCCTAGCAGCTGCTCCAGTACAGAGGGTGCAGCCCTCGCCTTGGACGAGGTTCCGACCCCACCCTCGAAGGTTGGGGATGATCCCTGAGCACTGAGTCAGGAGTAAACCCTGAGCACCTCTGGGTGTCGGTATGTGGCCCCCAAACCCAAAACCAAAATGAGGAATGGAAGAATAGAAGCTCCTCGCCATCTCCCGGCCCTGAACAGGAGTTTTTGTGCCCGTTTTGCGGAAGAAGAGCCAGAGGGTCTCAGAGGTGAAGGCCCTTTGCACAGGGCCAGACTAGGGACTGGGCTGGCACCGAGATGGAGCCGGAAGAGGGAGGGGCGTTGTCCAGGGTCCGCACAGCCTTCACGGAGAGTGACTCCTCTTCCTTCTGCAGCCTCGTGCGGCCTCCTCCCTAGTGACGTGGGTCTGCAGGACACTTAGGGGACCGTGGGGAGGCTTCTCAGGACAAGGAGGCTGCATGCCGCAGGCCACGGGCAGTCGTGCGTGCGGGTACAACTGGGTGCTGCAGGCTCTGTGCCCGCCTTTCACAGCCAAAAAGCTGCACGTTGTGAGGCAGGTGGTACCGAAAACCCCGCTGACAAGGCCCGGCGTGACCCTGACTGGGTCAGGCCATGCTGTTCCTGTCCTCTGGGGCCCAAGTCCTGCCTTGATGGCCCGAAGGGCAGAGGGTGTGGGGGCTTCTCCCAAAGAGACAGGGAGCTGCTTGTCAGCATGTGTGAGGGACACACAGGAGAGCCCCTGTGTGCTCAGAGAACCCAAGGATTGCGGAGAGCTGAGCTCTGCAGAGCCCCGAGTACTTCAGAGTCCTGGAGTACCTGAGCATTGCAGGGATTTGGGTATTGCAGATACCCAAGTACTGCGGAGTCCTGAGTGTTGCAGATACCCAAGTATTACGGATCCCTGAGTACTGTGGATCCCTGAGCCTTGCCGAGCTATGCTGCCACAGCATCGAGAATATTTCGAGGTGCCTGCCCCGAGAGCTGGAAGGCTTCAGTTCCATTCTCTGCCATGAGGAGCTCGTCATCTCCCAGAGCCTCTGGTTCCCCTTCTGTAAAACAAATATATAGTTTTTTTGTTGTTGTTCTGTTTTGTGTGGATCGTGAATGCCCTCCCTGCGGTACTCTCGCTCCAGCCCCTCAACCCCCTGGTTTTGGTGGGTGCCGATCCCAGGGGCACGTGATCCCCCCGGAAATGCTGGGCACCCTGGACATTGACCGGGTGTGGACTCAGTGATAGAACCCAGTGGCAGCCCGGGGAGGGGGGTGCTCAGTGGCTGGCCCCCGCCTGTGTGAGCTTTCCTGCCAGTCTGGCCTCATGTCGGGGTGAATGGGGGCACTGTGGGCCGGGGCAACTGGCACGGACGCTCTCCGACTCAGTGCAGGTCTGTGCCGGATGTCCCAGGCTGAGGGGGCCCGAGAGCTTTCTGCGTTCCATCGAAACTGCATGTGGTGGTTTGGCCTTTGACTCGTGCCTGGCTCTGAGCTGGGCTGGGTTCTGTCCTGGGGAGTTGCCTCCCCCGTCGCCCAGCCTTTACCTCAGACTCTGTGTCGTCTCATGCTTTCCAGACTCTGCCTTTGATGCATTTTCCTTCTCCCCCTTTAAAAAATTTTATCACAGGTTTACGACAGTATCTCGCCCGCACGGCAGAGCCTGGCAAGCTCCCCGTGACGTACTCGATATGCCAAACACAGTAACAACAAAGTCTCCAATGGAGACGTTACTGGGCCCGCTCAAGCAAATCGATGATCAACGGGAGGACAGTGACAGTGACAGTGACAGGAATTTCGTGGGGATCATCCCACACTGTTGCATTTCCTCATGTTCTAGCAGCCAGCATCGTCTTGCTGCGTCTTGGCACTCGTTTACCAAGTTTCACCAAGCCTCAGGATCTGGTTTTGGAGTTGGGCCACACCTGGCAGTGCTCAGAGCTTACTCCTGGCTCTGTGCTCAGAGATAGCTCCTGGCGGGGCTCGGGGGCTGTGTCTGGTGCTGGGGATGGGACCCAGGTAAGGCGATGTGGAGGGTAAGTGCCTTCCACTCTGTTGTCTCTCCAGCTCTTCTTTCGGTTGTTTTATGCTCGATATTGTTCCCGGCGGGGCTCAGAGGACCTGATGGGGTTGTTTATGTTCATAATCAAGATTCACTGTGTTGGGTCTGGAGCAGTAACACCGCAGGGAGGGTGTCTGCCTTGCACACGGCCAGCCAGATTCGATCCCCAGCATCCTATCGGGCCCCCCGAGCCTGCCAGGAGTGAGCCCTGAGTGCAGAGCCAGGAGTGACCCTGAGTACAGCTTGGTGCAGCCCCCAAACCAAACAACAACAACAACAACAACAACAAAAGGACATACAACCCCTCAGTCACACACACACACACACACACACACACACACGTGCACATTCATGCAACCTTTCTGAGGGGGGCAGGCAACCGGTGGCCTTCGCTGGCCCTCGGAGGTGGGAGGGGCGCAGATCCCTGCGGGACCCCAGGGAGCCTGACCTCTGCCCTTTCCCCAGAGAGCTCCTGTGAGAACAAGCGGGCGGACCTGGTCTTCGTCATCGACAGCTCCCGCAGCGTCAACAGCCAAGACTACGCCAGGGTGAAGGAGTTCCTGGTGGGCATCCTGCAGTTCCTGGACGTGGGCCCCGACGTGACGCGCGTGGGCCTGCTGCAGTACGCCAGCACCGTCAAGAACGAGTTCTCGCTGCGCACCTTCAAGCGGAGGGCAGAGGTGGAGCGGGCCGTGCAGCGCATGCGGCGCCTGGCCACGGGCACCATGACGGGGCTGGCACTGCAGTATGCCCTCAACATCGCCTTCTCGGAGGCGGAGGGTGCCCGGCCGCTGCGGGAGCACGTGCCGCGGGTGCTCATGATCGTCACCGACGGCCGGCCCCAGGACTCGGTGGCCGAGGTGGCCGCCAGGGCCCGCAACACCGGCATCCTCATCTTCGCCATTGGCGTGGGCCAGGTGGACCTCGGCACGCTGAAGGCCATGGGCAGCGAGCCGCACGAGGACCACGTCTTCCTGGTGGCCAACTTCAGCCAGATCGAGTCCCTCATCTCCGTCTTCCACAACAAGCTCTGCGGTGAGTAGTGCCCGCTGGGGCCTACGGGGAAAGCTGGTCGACTGTCTGCCTCCCGGGAAGGTGCTGGTGGGGTGTGGGGCCGAGGGGACACGGCGAGGGGGCGGCGATGCCCGTGGAGAGAGGGAGAGCTGAGCGCAGAAGGAGCGTGCGGCCAGCTCCTGGGATGAGTCGCTGTGTGAGCTCAGCTCCCGCAGCAGAACCTGCCCTGGGCGCGCGCCAAGGACTTCTTCCCAGAATGCGATTACGGCTGGACCCCCCAGCCCCGTGGACGCTGGTTGAGAAGGACGCGAGGCTTGTGATGTGTCCTTTTTGGAGGTGCAGACATGCCCTGTTGTGCCCACGGCTCTCAGTGGCACCAGGGGTCTAGCCGGCGGCTCCCGAGTGCTCAGCCCTTTGAACCATCTTTGCTTGAAGAGTCTTAGTATGTTTTTTAAAATGCCTGTTGCGGAGAATGAGCCTCAAAACAGTAGAGGCGGGGCTGGAGCGATAGTTCAGCAGGAAGGGCATCTGCCTTTCATGCGCCTGACCCGGGTTCGATTCCCAGCATCCCATATGGTCCCTTGAGCACCGCCAGGAGTGATTCCTGAGTGCAGAGCCAGGAGCAATCCCTGAGCATCGCCGGGTGAGACCCAAAAAGCCAAAAAAAGAACCAAACAACAACAACAACAAAAGAACCCAGCAGAGGCTCCTGTAGCCAGGGCCATAGTACAGCAGGTAGGGCGTTTGCTTTGCATGCCACTGACCCAGGTTCGATCCCCAGCATCCTGTACAGTCCCCTGAGCCCGCCAGGAGGGACCCCTGAGTGTAGAGCCAGGAGGAAGCCCTGAGTGCCACCCAGTGTGCCCCCCGACAGAACAACAAAAAAACCAAACAGCAGAGACTCCGTTATGTCAGAACTCCCAAATGCAGAGATCTATTTTTTTTTTAAAGTGCCACAATGGGAAGAACATTTTTCTCTGCCTCTCATTTGGAAAATGGCTCAGAAGCAACATTTTCCTCAGTGCTCAGGGTTCGAGGCACAGCTAAGACTTCCCCGGGGTGGGCGCTGTACAGGGCTATGACTTCCAGTGACTGGAGGTACCGAGAGAGAGCGAGAGAGAGAGAGAGAGAGAGAGAGAGAGAGAGAGAGAGAGAGAGAGAGGTTCCCCAGCTGGTTGAGCTGTTTCATTCATTTCATTCATTTATCGTGGGAAACATGCATGCAGAGGTCATTTTGCTTTTTTATTATTATTTTGTTTTTGTTTTTGTTTTTTTGGGGGGTCACACCCGGCGATGCACAGGGCTCAGGGCTACTCCTGGCTCATGCACTCAGGAATTACTCCTGGTGGTGCTCAGGGAACCATATGGGATGCTGGGAATCGAACCTGGGTTGCCTGCATGCAAGGCAAACACCCTACCCATTATACTATCGCTCCAGCCCTATTACTATTATTTTTAAATTTATTTATTTATTTGGTTTTGGGGTCACACCCGGCGATGCACAGGGGTTACTCCTGGCTCTGCCCTCAGGAATTACTCCTGGTGGTGCGTGGAGGGGGGGGGGGCATATGGGATGCTGGGAATCGAACCCGGGTTGGCCATATGCTAGGCAAACGTTCTCCCCACTGTGCTATTGCTCTGGTCCCCCCTCTGCCCTCCAAGCATGATTGTATCTCCAGCTTCTAGCAACCTGCCAGGTACGAGCCCCCAGTGACCCCATTTATGGATTTAAATCCCAAGGCTGTTACAGAGCCTGACCGGTCTTTTTTTTTTTTGGCATTTTGGGTCACACCTGGTGATGCTCAGGAATTATTTCTAGTTCTGGCCCCAGCCCTGTGAGGAGTGATCCCTGAGTGCGGAGCCAGGAGTGAGCAAGGTGTGACACCAAGCCCGTAGAGTTACCCCCCAGACCAGGCCTTAAGAGCATCCCTGAGGCCAAAGCCCTGGGCCAGGCCTCCATTGACTGCACCCCATTGTCCTCAGAGGGAGTCTGGGTGGGGGGTGCTGGCGATGTGTCTGTTTGCTCCAAGGTGCCAAAACAAGTCCCATCGGTTCGAGCATTCCTCTGGGCGCCCCACGCCTTCCTTCACAAACATTTCCGAACTCTTGGGTTTCCTAATTAAAACTCCCCGGCCACGCCCACCAGTGGCTCAGCCCCTTGACGAGCAGCTCCTGGCCCTAGAGGCACAGCCTGGGCGGGTTCCAGGCCTGAACCTTATCTAGGGTTGCACAGCCTGAGGGAGGAGGGAGGAGGGAAGAGGGAGGACTCCCCTCCCCGCCCCTGGGCCCTGGGCCCGGCGCTCTTTAATCTCAACCTTTGCCCACCCTTGGGTGTTTGCGGGTGAAAGAAGTGATGTCTGACCATCAACGAGGGGCTGAGTTTTCTGGGGCGGGATGGGGGGGTGGCGGGGAACTAGGAATTGGACAGGAACTGGCCTCAGAATAGGGGGAGGGCATCGCCCCCCTGAGGTGAGGAGGCGCCCTCAGGATCAACCAGGCTTTCTCCAGGTCCCCCCTTCTCTGGGTCCCAGGGCTGAGAGCTCGGCCTCTGCCAGCACCCTCTTTTCTCAGCTCTGGTTCCAGGAAGGGGCGCTGATGGGCAAACCCCCAAGCAGGGCCACCACCTCCCGACTCAGTGGCCCCGCTAGTGACCGTGCCTTTGGATGAGAAGGAAGGGAAACTTCTAGAAAGCAGATGCGGGTCCTGAGACACCTCACACCCACTCTCCTCTGCTCTAGCCATAGACTGCTGTGTGTGTTCAGGGCCCCGGGCAGTCAGCCATGTGTGTGTGTGTGTGTGTGTGTGTGTGTGTGTGCAGGGCCCCGACAGTCAGACGTGTATGTGTGTGTGTGTGTGTTCAGGGCCCTGGGCAGTCAGATGTGTGTGTATGTGTGTGTGTGTGTGTTTAGGGCCCCGACAGACGTATGTGTGTGTATGTGTGTGTATGCCCAGGGCCCCGGACGGTCAGATGTGTGTGTGTGTGTGTGTGTGTGTTCAGGGCCCCAGACAATCAGACATGTGTGTGTGTGTGTTTGTGTGTGTGTTTTCAAGGACCTGGGCAGTCAGACACGTGTGTGTGTGTGTGTGTGTTTAGGGCCCCGACAGATGTATGTGTGTGTATGTGTGTGTATGCCCAGGGCCCCAGATGGTCAGATGTGTGTGTGTGTGTGTGTGTGTGTGTGTGTGTGTGTGTGTGTTCAGGGCCCCAGACAATCAGACATGTGTGTGTGTTTGTGTGTGTGTGTTTTCAAGGACCTGGGCAGTCAGACACGTGTGTGTGTGTGTGTGTGTGTGTGTGTGTGGTGTTTAGGGCCCCAGGCAGCCAGACATGCATTTTCTGCCCTTTGACTCTTTCCTGGATCTCAAGTGTCACACGCTCACCCATCCCACATCTTTCGTTGCCCCACTGGGCCCCCGTGACCAGCTGCGATTCCCCGCCCGGGCGTGGCTTCCTCTGCTCTCTCGGGCAGGGAAGGGGGGTCAGGGGAGTCTGGAGGAACTGAGATTCAGCCAGGATGGAGATGCCGGTGCTGCGCGTTCATGCCTTTAGGTAAAGAGCCACCACACTCGCGTTCCCACAGCCGTGCCTCCCCCTGGGCGCAGCCCCTGCCGGCTTGCATCCCTCTGCCTACATAGCTGCAGGGGCTTCCTTTGTCTGCTGGCCACCTGGGCCCCACTGACTGCTCGGGTCACCCCGCGGGACCTCGGGCCCTGTGCTGGGACCAAAAGCCCCGAGCAACTGCAGACGGCCCGGGTCCTGCGTGATGAGGGCAGTGGGCTGGAGAGATGAGAACATTCCAGGGTGCCAGCGAAGCCCAGACAATGCTTCCCCCCGTCAGACTGACTGTCCGGCATGGCCCCTTTCCTATTCTCCGGTGAATGTGAAGGCATGGGTCCGTGGTACTGCTGGTGGGTCACCAGCTTTGGTGCCAGGGCCTGACACAGTACCGCAGGTCAGGTGCTGGCCTTACACACGGCTGACCCTGGTTTGATCCTCGCCACCACAGAGTTCACCAACTCCTCCAGGAGTGAGTCCCGAGCACAAAGCCAGGGATAAGCCCTGAGCAGTGCTGGGGCATGACCTAAAAACCAACTGAGGGCTGGAGAGATAGCACAGCAGGTAGGGCGTTTGCCTTGCACGCGGCCGACACGGGTTCGATTCCCAGCATCCCATATGGTCCCCTGAGCACCGCCAGGAGTAACGCCTGAGTGCAGAGCCAGGAGTAATCCCTGTGCATCGCCAGGTATGACCCAAAAAGCCAAACAAACAAACAAACAAAATAAACAAACTAGGAGCAGGCCCCAGAAAAACCACTGCCTGTAGACTGGAGAAGGCGTGTTCGAGAATGTTTGTCAAGACCACAGACTGGGAGGTGCTCAAATGTTGACTTAGACCCCAGTGAGATGCTGACCCTAGTGGAGACCAACCCTTCCACGACCAGATAAAGCCATTCAAGGAGCTAGCGAGAGGTGGTGGGATGGCAAGGCCGAAGGTCCGTGTCAGTGAGGATTATTCGTGCTCGTGATTCCTGCAGTCACATGGACACAGCGGCAGTGGACGCTGGACCTCAGCTCCTGGGGAGAACCAGAGTGAGCATCCCACAAGCCCCAGACCACTACATTGCATCTGTTGGTGGTTACCTGATTCTGTTCCGTGTGCATGTGTGTTTTTTTTTTCTTTTTGGGTCACTCCTGGCAGTGCTCAGGGGTTTCTCCTGGCTCTTCACTCAGGAGTCACTCCTGGCGGTGCCCGGGGAACCATAAGGGATGCTGGGAATTGAACCCGGGTTGGCCGCGTGCAAGACAAACGCCCTCCCCGTTGTACTATAGCTCTGGCCCTGTGTATTTGTGTTGAAACACACAGACGTGGGGGCTGGAGTGATAGCGTAGCAGGTAGGGTGCTTGCTTTGCATAGAGCTGATCCGGGTTCGAACCCCAGCATCCCATATGGCCCCCTGAGCACCGCTAGGAATAATTCCAGAGCCAGGAGTAAGCCCTGAGCATTGTTGGGTGTAACCCCCAAACCAATCCAAATACATAGGCTTGGGGGTCAGAGAGATACTACAGGGATTAAGGCACTTACTTCGCATGCGTTTGGTCTAGGGTGCCAGGGATCAAATCCCCAGCCATTCACTCATCCATCTGTTCTCCCGTCCTTCCATCCTTCCATCCATCCATCCCCAGCCATTCTCCCATCCGACCAGTCTGGGGATTTGATCCCTGGCACCTGGATTTGATCTCTGGCACCCTAGATGGTCCCTTAAGTGCTCTCAGGAGTGACTCGTGAGCACAGAGCCAGGAGTAAGCCCTAAACATAGCTGGGTTTGCCCCTCCCCTCAAAAAAACCCAATAAATAAATACCAGCACAAGATTGATTCTCTGAAGTAGATTCATTAACACTGAACCCACAACCGATAGCACTACGATTCATGCTGAACGAAACTCACCCAACACACCTGCTTTCCCCAGGAGGCCTGTTCTAGCCTCCTTGCACATGGGAGTACCAGGCATGGACATGGACACAGACACGGCTCTTCACTGTGCTCAGGGCCATGGCAGACCGCAAGACCGCTGTGCACAAGGCACAGAATACTCCCCAGATGGCACGAGAGGGGCTCACAAAGGGGATTTGTTGGCAGCTGAGAGTGGCAGCGAGAAAGCAGAGTGTGGCCCGACCCAGTCTCGGGGGGGGGGGGCACAGGTGCTCACTCGACTCCAACTCCCACCTGAGCAAGTCCGTGAGTGACAGTGTTGATGTCAGGCTTACAGAGAATGGCAGTGAGGAGGCAAGTCTGTAAATAAAATATCTAAAACTGGTGAAATCACTTGAATCTCCACCCGCTTATGTCACTGACCCTGGAATGCCTCTTCGATTGTATGAAAGATCGTACGTAAGGATAGACAGTAGATGGAAGAATGGATACAAAGATAGACCAGCCCTTCCAGAGGGATGGAAGGGAGGATGGATGGGAGGATGGATGGATGGGAGATGATGAGAGGATGAGTGGAAGAATGGATGGGGATGGATGGATGGAAGGATGGATGGATGGGAGAATGGATGGTTGGGAGGATGGATGGATGGATGGATGGATAGGAGGATGGATGGATGGGAGGATGGATGGATGGATGGGAGGATGGATGGATGGATAGGAGGATGGATGGATGGGAGGATGGATGGATGGGAGGATGGATGGATGGATGGATGGATGGAAGGAAGGATGGATGGATGGGAGAATGGATGGTTGGGAGGATGGATGGATGGATGGATGGATGGATGGATAGGAGGATGGATGGATGGGAGGATGGATGGATGGATAGGAGGATGGATGGATGGGAGGATGGATGGATGAATGGATGGATGGATGGGAGGATGGATGGATGGAAGAATGGCTGGGGAAGGACGAATGGGAAAATTAATGGACGGGAAAATTGCTGTGGATGAATGGATGGAATGGATGGAAGGATGGATGGATGTGAGGATGGATGGATGGGAGGGTGGGTGGATGGATGAATGGATGGGAGGATGGATGAATGAGTAAGTGGATGGATGGAAAGAGGAATAAATAGAATCTATGATTCTATTTGAGTAAAACCCAAGTTGAAGATCAGCTTACCTAAGATAAATTCACAGAGCAGAAGAGTACAAAGGCCCCACTTTGAGCCCCACTACCGCAGTCACATGTGGAAGCGTTTCCTTCCTGGGCCCCTTCCCACCTTCATCATTTTGTTTTTCCCTTATTTTATACAAAGAGATGAAGAAAATGGCCCGTGGTCACAAAACCAGTTATCTATCTCAGTGAATTAAACATTATTCAATTTAATCTACAAATTTTCTTAATGTTATTTGTAACTTTATCAGGAGCTAAAACACACACACACACACATAAACTCTGATGATCTTTATAAATGGGATTGTTAGGAAACGAAATAGTTCCACTCCTTTACTTCTTGGCTGCCACATGTCTTCCTCAGAAGTAGAGACATGTGCATAAGATATGAGACCAGTTTCACCCAGGCTGTTTTCTCAGCCCTGGATTAATGGCATTGTTTTGAGCTCTTGAAAATCTCTTTTATTTCGCATTATAAAAATATATTTCTACATCTGGTTTTCTTTTTTGTTTATGAGGACACTTGCATAACTTGAGCTCTGTTTACCCTGATGCTCAAGAGTTTTAAATATGTTCAAGTTGCATCGTACAGGGTAAAGTCATAAATTAAGATCTAGGGGATAAAAGAAGTTTTATGAGCTCCAGAAAAACTGGACACCAGAGTCCAAATATCTGAACACAGGCGCTTCAGAAATGAAATGCAGAAATAGTTTAAATCGAAACCAAGATTAGGAAAACATAGAATGTATGAATGCATTTTCCACTACCCAAATTTTGTGTATGACCTTTGCAATATTAAAAAATTTACATTCTATGGGGCTGGAGCGATAGCACAGCGGTAGGGCGTTTGCCTTGCATGCAGCCAACATGGCGAACACAGGTTTGATCCCCAGCATCCCATATGGTCCCTCGAGCACTGCCAGGAGTAATTCCTGAGTGCATGAGCCAGGAGTAACCCCTGAGCATCGCCAGGTGTGACCCAAAAAGCAAAAAAAAAAAAAAAAATTACATTCTAAAGGAGCTGGAGCGATAGCACAATGGGTAGGGCATTTGCCTTGCACGCGGCCTACCCGGGTTTGATTCCCAGAATCCCATATGGTCCCCTGAGCACCGCCAGGAGTAATTCCTGAGTGCAGAGCCAGGAGTGACCACTGTGCATCGCCAGGTGTGACCCAAAAAGATAAAAAAATGTACCGAACAGTGTCATGGTAGATTGCTTTGTTCATTCTGCAATGTCTCAAACAACTGTTCCCTATACAAACACCACAAAGATGACAAAACCAAGACAGAAAGATTCCAAAGCTTCATGGTCTCTGGTGCTCCCATCGGAGGGCTCTTTTACCGATTGTTTTAGAAAACATCTTGGAGGCTCTCAACAACAAAACCCATCAATGCACTTAATTGCATGGCTGAAAAGGTTGATGATATAAGTCTAGTGAACAAGCAGCATTCCAGTGTATTTTTCCCCCTGGTCCGTTTTTGAATCCCGAAGAAAGATTGTCATCTTGGAGGCCAACACAGCTAACGAAGAGAGCAGCCTTGACTTGAACCCAAGAAGTCCCTCATTTCATAGCACCCGGTACCACATTTTATTTGGCGGCAAACACTTTTAGCCACCCTCCTTTGCCCCAGGACTCCCGTGGTCCTTGTCTAGTGGCTGCCAATGGCTTTTTTCTAGACCTTTGATGTACCAAAGGCTGGAAAGGGCCAGGAGGGCCAAATCAGATGCTGGCAGCTCTTTCCTGGTCCTGCCTGTTCCTTCCCAGGTGGGCTGGGGACGGTGGTTAGGGGGTGGGGGCTGCATTTCGTAGCTGCCTCGTCCTGGCCTTACTTGCGTCTCTCTCCTCCTTGGCAGTGGTCCACATGTGCAGTGTCCTGGAGCAGCCCTGCACCCACTACTGCATCAACACTCCCGGTTCCTACGTCTGTAGCTGCAGGCCCGGCTACAGCCTGCACTCGGACCAGAGGACATGCACGAGTAAGGGGGCTCGCCCATCTCTTCCGTCTCTGCCTGTCTCTGCTCTCTCTTCTCACCCAGTTCTTTCTTTTTCCCATGGGGCCTATCATCCTGATCTGGGGCCTTTCCCCAAGCGAGTCCACACAGCTCCTGGGCTGGCACAGAAGAGGCTGTCGGGAAGGTTCTAGAAGATTCTGGAAAAGTCTGGGAGGTCCCTTTTTAGAAATAGAGTTCATGGCTCAGAGACAGCTCAAATGACTTTGCACGTGGGGGCCCAGGTTTGCTCCCCAGCACCTTGGGGTCCTCTGAGCACTCCCAGGTGTGGTCCAACCCCGCCACCCCCAGGGAGAAAGAAATGGCCTTTTGAAGCTCAAGAGATTAATGATGACCTTTTCATCCACTGTCTATATCCCCGAGGAATTGTCTCTCTTTTTTGCAACCGGTGTGGCTCAAAACAGAAAAACTCACAGACTTCCTTATGTTGGCCACTCTCCCGCTGGCCCAGACACCGGCTAACGCTGAGCCAGCATGGGGTTACCTGGACTCATGGAGAGCTAAGCGGGGTCTCCCAACAGACCACTTAATGCTACCGTGATGTTGTTCTATTTCAGAGCAATTCCTGGCAAAACCCTGGCCGGGTACTTTTTTTATTATTATTATTATTTTAATTCTAAATCTGATCTGATTCTGAATTATTTTTTTCCCTTCTGCATCTGTCCAGATCTGACAGTCTGATGTCACTTCTTAATGACAGCCATGTCAAGGTAGCTTCACGTTCCCCTTGGGATCAGGGGCTCTGGGGAGATCCAGAGTCATTTCCCGAGAGCCTTTGTTCTCTACACATGGGCAAGCTTTGCTTGTTGTGTCTGTAGACGCCCGCCCAGTTGAGGATTATCAGCCTGGTGTCCAGAGCCAAGAGCCTGTCCACTGGTCCTCTTAGAGCTCAGCCAACACACAGCCTCCTCCCTCTGGTCGGCCATCGTCTTCCCACACTTGGGAGCACCAGATTTCAGCTGCTCACAGGAAAATGCCAACGAATAGTCTGCTCGGCTCTAAACAGACACAGAGGGCTACTGGCTGGGAGGGGAAGGCAGGTGGCCCTGAGGGCTGGACCCTCTCCCCTCCCCCCCCCGAAATGGTTTGTCAGGCTGGCTTTGGAACATTTGGGAGGGCTGCGAGGATTAATTGGGGGTTGCAAGTCAGTTTAAGCAGGGAGGCAAATTTGCAAGTATGGAATCTGCAAATAAAGAAAACCAGTGAACAATCGGGGAAAAGTTTTAAGTTGGGACAGTTTAAAGGATCTGATCTGAAAAGTAATTATACTTGTTAATGATGTTGGTCTCGGGGCCCATGCCCCGCGGTGCTCAGGCTCCACCAAGCTTGGTGCTCGGGGAGTTGCTCCTGGGTGTATATTCATGGGAGCAGGGTTGAGCCCCCGCCTCCTGCCCGCAAACTATCTCTCCAGTCCCAGAGAAGAATGATGAAGTGATGGGAATTGGGGCAGTTTAGTGTCTGTCCAAAGGTAGACACCAGGGGCTGGAGCAATAGCACAGCGGGTAGGGCGTTTGCCTTACACGCGGCTGACCAGGGTTCGAATCCCAGCATCCCATACGGTCCCCTGAGCACCGCCAGGAGTGGTTCCTGAGTGCAGAACCAGGAGTGACCCCTGTGCATTTCCAAATGTGACCCAAAAAGCAAAAAACAAAACAAACAAAAAACAAAGGTAGACACCAGGGGGACGGCCCAAGCAACCTCAATCACAAATGTGAAGTGATTTCTGACAAAGACGTGACGCATTTCTGTCACTGTCACTGTCCTCCCGTTGTTCATCGATTTGCTCGAGCGGGCCCAGTAACGTCTCCATTGGAGACTTTGTTGTTACTGTGTTTGGCATATCGAATACGTCACGGGGAGCTTGCCAGGCTTTGCCGTGCGGGCGAGATACTCTCGGTAGCTTGCCGGACTCTCTGAGAGAGACAGAGGAATCAAACTCTGGCCGGCAGCCCTCCCGTTGATCATCGATTTGCTCGAGCGGGCCCAGTAACGTCTCCATTGGAGACTTTGTTGTTACTGTGTCTGGCATATCCAATACGTCATGGGGAGCTTGTCAGGCTCTGCCGTGCGGGCGAGATACTCTCAGTAGCTTGCCGGGCTCTCGCATTTCATTGCTTTTTTTTTTTTTTGTGGTGTGTGTGTGGGGGGGAACCATACCCAGCCATATTCAGGGATCATTCCTAGATGTGCTCAGGGGACCATATAGGGTGCTGGGATTAAACTCGTGTTGACCACCACAAGGCAAGAGCCCTCCCCACCGTGCTATGTTTGCATGAAGCATTTCATGGAGAAAGCATGATAGCAATGACAAATGGTGCTACAACAACTGAATAAACAGGTTTAAAATTTAAAAAAAAAAACGCTTTACCTCACTGCGCAATTAATTAAAAATGAATTAACATTGTAGGCGTGGGGGCTGGAGAGAAAGTACCGTGGGGAAGGCACTTGCCTTGCATGCAGCCAACCCGGGTTCTATATTCAGCATGCCATATAACCCCCTGGGCTCTACAGGAGTGATTTCTGAGCGCAGAGCCAGGAGTAAGCCCTGAGCATTTCTGGGTGTGGGCCAGAAGCCAAAAAACACGCAAACAAACAACCACCCACCCCACCCCCAAAACTAAAACAAAACCATTGTAGGTGGGTGGATAGGGTCACGCGGCAGAGCTCAGCCTGCTGTGGCCTGCCCTGTCATGTTGGAGAGGCCGTGAGGTGCCAGGGGCCAAACCCAGGGCCTCAAACATGCCTGGCAGGTGCTCCAGTTTCATCGCTGGCCCCAAATACTAAATCTAAACATAAAGAATAGAAACAATATGGGGCTGCAGAGATAGCACAGCGGGTAGGGCGTTTGCCTTGCACGCGGCCGACCTGGGTTCGATTCCCAGCATCCCATATGGTCCCCTGAGCACCGCCAGGAGTAACTCCTGAGTGCAGAGCCAGGAGTAACCCATGTGCATCGCCAGGTGTGACCCAAAAAGAAAAAAAAAATAGAAACAATAAAATGTCTAGTTGAAAATGTGGAAGGGAAAAATTGATACCTTCGTCTTAGCAAGTTTTTTTGTTGTTCTTTTGGGTCACACAGAGCGATACTCGGGGCTTACTCCTGGCTCCGCTCTCAGGAGTGACTCCTGGTGGGTTCAGGGGATCCTAGGGGATGCCGGGGATTGAACCCAGGTTGGCTGCGTGGAAGGCATGCTCCCTAGCCACTCTACTATCTCTCCAACCCTTGGTAAGGATTTTTACAAATAATGCAGAACAAGAGGAAAAGCCTCATAAACGGACTGTGTTGAGGTTCAAATGTTTGTTTCTTAAAAATATGTTGTTACTTGAATGCAGGGGCAGGTGTCAGACGGGGATGTTATACTGGCAGACCTATATCCACCAGCAGCTCTTAGGCTGTGGAAGCCACTCTTAGAAACCATCATGGAAGATAAAGAGTCCAGTCCAAGTGGGGAGGAGCATAGTCCGGCGGGGAGGGCTCTGGACTTGCTCAGGGCATCTTGCTTGCAGATGACCTGGATTCAATCCCCAACGTCCTCTGTGGTCTCCAAATACCTCAAGGGTTATTCCTGAGTGCAGAGCCAGGAGGAGTAACCCCTGAGCATTACTAGGTGTGGCCCAAATTTTTAAAAGAGGGTAAAGAATTTGAATAAACACTAGAGATTCATAGATGGCCAAGAAGCCTGGGAAGAAATACTCCTCCTTAGTGGTTGCTAGGGAAATGCAAATTAAAGCCACAAAGAGATCCCGAGGTACATCTGCCAGAATGAATACCTTTAAAAATACCAACCAAGCCCTCGGCAAAGTTGGGAAGAGGAAACACCCATGTACCAGGTGGGAATGCAAAATGATTTGATCACTTTGGGCAGGTTTAGCTGTTTCTTACAAGGTTAAATACATTCCTGCGACAGGTCCTGGCCATTCCACGTGTGGGCATTTATCCCAGCGAGACGAAAGTTTTGTGGAAGCCAAGATGTGAAGTCTTATGTGTTCGAACCCCGAGCTGGATCCCCTGACCGACGTCCCGCGAAGGGAATGGGGGTGGCCTGGGCTGGGCATAACAATGCTGGGGGAGGACCAGAGAGATAGCCAAGTGGGTAGGGCACTGGCCTTGCATGCCACATGGAGCCCCCCCCCCCTCCAGGAGTGATCCCTGAGTGCAGAGCCCCGAGCACCGCCAGGTATGGCCCCCAAACCAGGCAAATACACACATACACACAAAATAGAAATTTGTAGGGGAGACAAGATCTGGGGCACATCTGCAGCTTGCAGGCACCTCGAACCCCACGTTGGAGGAAGAAATCTGAGGAGCAGGGCCAGAGAGATAGCACAGCGGGTGAGATGCTTACTTTGCATGCGTCCCATGTGGTCCCCCGAACACTGCCGGGTGTGATTCCTGAATGCAGAGCCAGGAGTAAGGCCTGAGCATTGTGATGTGTGGCCCCCTCTCCCACCGCCAAAGGGGGAAAAAAAAAAGAAATCAGAGGACCAGAAAAGAGAAACTGAAAATCTGTTTACTTGGCTGTGGCAGAACAGATGAGGGGTGACCTGGGGTTGGGGTGGGAGGGAGGAGGAGCAGGAAGAAGGGTCACCAGGTGTGAGGAGACTTGAGAGGTTTGGGGTGAGAATATCTTTGGATTGCCTTGGTTATGGTGGTGGTAGATTGGTCAAATTCATCCAACCGTACATTTTAAATATGGTTCTTTTAAAGAAGGTAATAGAATCACTAAAGCTAATATTCATAGATAGGGGGGTGTATGGATGGGTGGATGGTGTGTGGTGTGTGGTGTGTGGATGGATGGGGAGATGGAGGGTTGATGGACGAGTGGATGGAGGGATGGGGAAATGGAAGGGTAGATGGGTGAATGAATGGATGGATTTAAAGATAGGTCAGAACAGATGCTATGGGAGGAAAGACCTGAGGGACAGCCCTGGGAGGATCCGGCAGGCACCTGGAGGAGGACCAAGTCTTCTCGCGAAGAGAAGAGAATGGGAGGGCTTGGATGGAGGATGCTGACTGGGCCAGGCTGCCCGTCTGGAGGGGTGGGTTTGGGGTGTCCGTCAGGGGTGAGGGAGGGCCTGTGGGCTAGACTAGGGCTTGGAATAGTATGATACTCCCGTTGAGTTCCAACCCTAGTGTTTGGTGAGTGGGTAGGGGTGAACACAGCTGTCATGGGACAAAACCACATATTTGAAACTTGAGTCTGACAGTAATTTGTGTGCCAGATTAGAGTGAGATAAAGTGGAGGATAGATACCCTCCCTCTAGCCATTTACCTTTCTCTCCCCATCCTCTCCCTGTCCGCATTGGCCTACCATCCATCCATCCATCCATCCATCCATCCATCCATCCATCATCTCTTCCCCCCTCCATCCTTCCATAGCTCCACCCCTACTTCCCTCTATCCATCCATCCATCCATCCATCCATCCATCTATCCATCTCTTCCCCTTCCCTCCATCCTTCCATAGCTCCACCCCTACTTCCCTCCCTCCCTCCCTCCCTCCATCCATCCATCCAACCCTCCCTCCATCATTTATTCCTCTATCCGCCTATCTCTCCTTCTGTCCCTCTCATCCACCACCCAGTGCTCCTCCCGCCACCTCTTCACCCTCCTCTCCTTCCCTTCCTCCTTCCCTCCCTCCCTCCCCCCTTCCTTTCTTCTCTCCCTCCATCTCTCATGTCTGTTCTCCCTTCCCCTTACTATTTGTTTAATCCTCATGCTTATCTAATAAGTGCTTTTTAATTTAATACTTATTTGCAGTGTCCAGGCACTTATGTGAAGTGGTCAAATATGAGTGCTTTTCTCTTATGTGTTTGAGACACCAAGATCTTAATGTTCCTTGTGCCTTGCACACATGAAATCCAACAGACCAGATGTCATCAGCTTCCCAGCCGGCACGTGGCTCTTACACGCACCACATTCACTCAGGCCTGCAGATCCCAGCTTTGGGGCGGGGTTGCATCAAATGGGGGTGCTGTGTGTGTGTGTGTGTGTGTGCGTGTGTGTGTGTGTGTGAGAGAGAGAGAGAGAGAGAGACACGTGGGCCTGAGAGAAGGGTTTGGGATTTGAAGGAAAAGGAATTCGTCCAGGAAGAAGCCCACCCAGAAGGTGGGGTGCGGCTGGAGCGGGCGGGGAGAGAGCTTCCTGGCATGTGTGAACCCTGAAAACGGGCAAGGTGGTGGAAAAGGGTGTGTGGGGAGGGAAGGTCCAGGCCATGGCCGCGGGGAATCAGATGAAGTGGGGGGAGAGATCCCCAGGCAGAGCGGCACCCGCAAGCAGGGCAGGCAAGAAAACAGGCAAGGGGGTGTCGCCCCAACGCCCTGGCCCTTGTCCTCTGCACCCTGGCCGCCGGCCGTGGGAATCTGGACGTGCTTCCTGCCATGTCCCTGGCTCCTGCTGGCTGCCTGCGGGCCAGGGTGCAGGGTTATTTTAAAAGCTTTTTGCTTTTCATTTAATTAAATTAAAGGAATTTGGGGAAGTCGATCCCCACGGAGAACTGAGCTACAGAGCTGGAGGGAGGCCAGGCGGGGCAGCTGGTGGCGTCTGGGCCCTTCTCCCTCTTCTGTTTTCCTCAGCACCCAAGGCGCTGGCTCTCGGGGTCCCCTGGCCAGCAGCTTCTGCTGTGGGAGGGCTCTGAGGCCGAACCCGGGCCCTGACCCGTCCTCTCTCCCCAGGGACACCCTCCAGGGGAGCCCGCGGCCAGCTGAAGCTGGCGGCGCCTGGGATTAGCCCCTTGAACCTCTCTTCCGGGAGGTGGGCGTTCTCACTCCTGCCGTTGATCGTCCCCTTCTCCCTCCTCCCGGCAGATGGCTTCGGTCTCAGGGCCTGGTTGAGCGGGGTGGTCCTCCACCCTCGTCCGCTCCCGAAAAAAAAGGAGCATCCTGGGCCCCGAGCAGAGGGCTGATGGGGCGGAAGGGCTGGGCAGGAACAGCTGGGTCCTGCCTGGAAGCCCGGGTTTGTTTTTTCCAGGGTGCAGCTGCCCAGCCAGGAAGCACGAGGCTGGAGGCTCGTGTGGCCTGGAGCGAGCCTTGTGATGCCGCAGCCAGCCGCTGTCACAGCAGAGGGGACACGAGGAAGGCCGCAGAGCCCGGCTTGGCTGTGAACCCTCTGGGTGCCTCTCCCTCCCGGTGGAGAGCAGTGCCCCCCTTGGGCCGCCCTCCAGGCACCTTCTCTTGTCCCTACCTCCTGGCCGAGTCTGGGGGTAAGGGCAGTAGTCGAGGGTCCCTGGAGGTCGTTCCGTCTCAGTGCCAAGGAAGACATTAAAGTGTATGTGTGTGTGTGTGTGTGTGTGTGTGTGTGTGTGTGTGTGTGTGTGTGTGTTGGGGGGGGGCGGCACTCTGCAAGTAGCGGGGCTCATCCAAAGCTGTAGAAAGGCAGCACCAATCCTGCGGTTCCATCCAGGCAGAACTCAGCCCTCAGGCTCTTCATCAGAAGAACATGTTGGGGGGCAGAGGGGCTGTCCTGTCCCCATGAGGGAGTTCAGAGAGTTGGAGAGTAGAAATAAATAAATAATAAATAAATACATTTGGCATTGGGGTCACAGCTAGTGGTCCCAAGGGTTTACTTCTGGCTCTGTGCTCAGGGATGACTCCTGGCTGTGTTTGGGGGACCCTCTGTGGTGCCGGGGTTCGAAATGAGATTGATTGCACTCAAGGCAAGCACCGACCCTCTGTACTGTCTCTCTGGCCCCCTTTATTGCATTTCTAGCGAGGAGTAGCCCCAGCCTTGGAAGCGTTTTCACACAGACCTATAAACTCGCCAACGTTAAGAGGGGTCGGCGCTGGGCCACAGCATAGTGGGTGCTCTTGCCCTTCTGTCTGTCTGTCTTCCTGACTTTCTGTCTGCTCGTCTCTGATCCCTTCCATGCATCCTCCCATGCAGTTCTTTTTTTTTTCTTTTTTGCTTTTTGGGTCACACCCGGCGATGCTCAGGGGTTACTCCTGACTCTGCACTCAGGAAGTACTCCTGGCAGTGCTCAGGGGACCATATAGGATGCTGGGAATTGAACCTGGGTTGGCCGCGTGCAAGGCAAATGCCCTATCCGCTGTGCTATCGCTCCGGCCCCCTCCCATGCAGTTCTGAAGGGCATTTCCGCAGGCCGTTGCTTGCGTGGGGGATGGTGTGACCCTTGTGGAAAGGGCGTTTAACCCTGTGCTTGCCTCAGTCCAGGACCTGTGTGCTGGGGAGGCCCACGGCTGCGAGCAGCTCTGTGTCAATGTCCTGGGCTCGTTCGTCTGCCAGTGCTACCAGGGCTACAGGCTGGCGCGGGACGGGAAGAGCTGTGTGGGTGAGTATCTCCGGCCTGGCTGTCCCTGGGAGGGAACAGCAGAGAGGCTGAGTGGGATGGGGAGGTCCTGGGTGTGGATCCAGATGTCTGTTTTGTTTTGTTTTCCCTTGGAAGTTTATTTTTATACCGTTGTTCATAATAGTTTATTACAGATAGTATTCAAACACCAATCCCACCCCCATAAGAGGAAAGTGTGTGAAGATTGTTGTGTTTTATCCTGGAGCCATTTAAGCCCTCCCCTTCTTTTTCTTTTTGGGTCATACCCGGTGATGCACAGGGGTTACTCCTGGCTCTTCACTCAGGAATTACTCCTGGCGGTGCTTGGGGAACCCTATGGGATGCTGGGAATCGAACCCGGGTCGGCCGCGTGCTATCGCTCCAGCCCCCATTTAAGCCCTTGTATACGATATTGCAAGCTTCTATGTTAAATCCAAACACGTGTGTGCGACTTTTGGTACATCATTGGGCTTGAGTATAAGAGGTTCAGGATGTTCTGTGTCGCTCTCTTCTGGGAGCTTTATGAGATTACATGGCACTGGGGGCAGTTTGTGGGTGTGACTGCCACGCTACTGGGAAACTGGGGAGCTGGGGCAGGAGGCCCGGTCCCCTTCTGAGCAGGCTTGGAGCTCTCAGTCATGGGTCCTAATACATGGGTTTTTCGGCCAGTTCCCACTTGGTGAAGCTCATCCGAGCATGTGGTGGGTGGCCTTGAACATGGCGGCGGTCGGATTCTGGAGTTTTTGGCTGCAGGTGTTCTGCTCGGAGCAGGGAGGGAAACTCAACCCGCCACCCCCCTCCAAGGTACCTGGTGAAGACAGCCTGCACGGGATCAGGCCGTTCTTTGTGGATCCAGGTGTTCTTAAGGGTCCCGACACAGCCTTTTGTTCTTGGGCCCAGTAGTTAGGCATCATGAGGACTTTCACAGTGAGTGACTGGGGCCAGACAGGGGCTGCAGAGATTAAGGTGCTTGCCTTGTGTATTGATCCCGGTTTAATCCCTGGCACGGCATAAGGGTCCCTGAGCACTACCAGCTGTGGCCCACCAAACCAAATGAAATGTACACTTTTTTTTTTTTTTGCTTTTTTGGGTCATACCCGGTGATGCACAGGGGTTACTCCTGGCTCTGCACTCGGGAGTCACTCCTGGCGGTGCTCAGGGGACCATATGGGATGCTGGGAATCGAACCCGGGTCGGCCGCGTGCAAGGGAAACGCCCCACCCGCTGTGCTATCTCTCCAGCCCCTGAAATGTACACTTTGAGAGCCTAATTTTGCAGGTTTATTTTGCATGGGTCGATTTCGCATGCTTTGGCTTGGTTCTCCTTTTCCTGGTGGTAGAATGGGAGGCCCTTAGAGCACTGTGCGGGGGTGGGGGGGGGTGGGAGGGGGGCAGGGGAAGCAGTCCCGGGAGGAAGGCAGCAGAGACGTACGGCCGGTGGGGACACGCAGTTTGGGGGCGGGGACACGCAGTGGGACTGGGCAGGAGGCGCAGAGAGAGCCCGTCTCAGTCACCTCAGTGCTCCTCAGTTCTCTGCTGGTGCCAAATAATTGCTCTGTTGTTTTTGCTTTGGTTTGATTTGGGTTTGGGGTTTGTACTGTGCAGTGCTCAGGACTTATTCCTGGTGCTGTTCCCGGGATGGCTCCTACTGGGACCGTGTGTGGCACTGAACCCAGATCAGCTGCATGCAAGGCAAGCCACATTCCCACTATCTGTGTTCCTGGCCCACACCAAGTTATTTACTTTCTTTATTTAAACACTGCGATTTGCAAAGTCTGTCATAGTCCAGTTGCTACGACATTCAGTGTTTGAGCATCAGTCCCTCCACCAGCGCGACCTTCCCTCCACCAGTGTCCCCAGTTTTCTAACCATCTTCCCAACCTGCCCCCTTCCCAGGCACAAAATGATTTCGTTTGTATTGCTTGTTACGACAGAGTGGCTCACAGAATCGTTGAAAAATACTTCAGTAAATGGAAGTTTGTGAAAATTGTTCAGCCTTACCTTGGAGCTATTCAACTCGTTGTCTGAGGGCACCCTACGCTCTTTGCTGACGGCTGAGCCTTCGGTGCTATTGTTTCGTATACGGTATCAGTGGTGTTTCTGCTAGTTTGTCGTCTGATCCGCTCCTCCCGGGCTGTCAGAGGTGAGGTTGGAGGGTGCTACAGTGCTCCAGGAGTCCCAGGGTCTGTAGCACTGGGCTGACGGGTTTCAGCGTCTCGGCGTACGCGTCCTCTGAGATCAGTGGTGGAGCTGTGAAGCAGGGCTGTGGCTTACACGGGGTGGATGCTCCTTCTCAGTTGACCTTATCGTTCATCATCGGTCTGGAGTCGATCAGACTGGTCTCAGGGGTCACTCTTGAAGACAGCTTGGCACAAGTTTGTGTCCAGACCGAGTTATTCATGCAGAGCTAAGAGCTTTTGCATCTTCGGGGACTTTACTGTCCCTTTTGGGAACTGGTGTGTGTGTGTGTGTGTGTGTGTGTGTGTGTGTGTGTGTGTACACCTGGGACTGTTTTCCTTTGATTTCTGTAGTTTTAAGTACCGTGATTCGTGTGATCTTAATTTGTCTTGAGCTATAAATGGCCTGATGTGTCTTCCACTTTGGGGGTGGGAGAGAAAACACTTCATTATTTCCCAAAGTGGGTAATGCTGACCCCTTGGGAGGGTCACTGGAATCATACAGGGGAGGCCTTTGTAGCCTGGCATGAAGCTGGGGTGCACTTTCTGTTTATTTGCTTCAAGAAGGTGGATTTCTAGAGAGCACTGGACAATTTAATTCTTTCCTCATAGGGGGACAGTAGGCCAAATAAGCTGGGCACCCCTGCTTTGGATGCATCTTTAGTTTACTCTGTTTTGGGGGGAGGGGACCCACAACCAGCGATGCGCAGGGGTTAGTCCTGGCTCTGCACTCAGGAGTCATTCTTGACGGTGCCCAGGGAACCATATGGGTTGTAGATGCAAGGCAAAACCCCTACCTGCACTACTGTCGCTCCGACCCTAGAGTTCACCCTCTTCGGGTCCCTAATAATAATCCGGATCAGCGTTTGTGAGAGCGGGACTCCCTGGCCCTGGGCCTGTGCTGCTCCTGAACCCCCTTTCTCTCGGCAGCTGTGGACTACTGCGCCTCAGAAAACCACGGCTGTGAGCACGAGTGTGTCAATGCCGATGGCTCCTACGTTTGCCGCTGCCCGAAAGGATTTGCTCTTAACCCAGATCAAAAAACCTGCACAAGTAAGTTACACGCGCACCTGGGACCAGGCGCTTGGAGACAGAGCCTTGGCAACCCCCGGTCTGAATTAGATGCGACTGGGCATGGGGCGGGGTTGGCAAAACCGTCTGCATGTCCTTCCTTGGCTAGGCCTTTCCTGTGGCCCCAAGGAGCAGCCCCTCGGTTCCCACACCACGCAGGGAGGCATTTGCCCAGAGGAATTTGAGCCTAGACCACCAGTGGGCGTCCCCCCGCGTCTGCTGAGCTGTGGAGTGCCAGAACCACCTCACTTCCTGCTGCCTCAGCCGTCTGTGCCTGGATAATGGGGCCGGAGAAAGGTTTTCATTGAAGCTCTGTGGCATGTGGGCTTCGGCCTGCCTCCCCACAAGTCCTGGGAGCCGCCGAGCAGGGGGAGCTGAACGTGGTGGTTCACGGGAGGCGGGAGGGCTTGCTTTGCAAAAGGCTCCGGCTTGATTTGAGCTATTTAGTTCGGTTTGGTTTTCGCTACGTCCAGCGAACTGGAGCTGATTTCAGCTTCCAAGGTGAGTCCGTAAAAATGTATAAGGGTGAGGCTGCAGAGGGGGCTCCGAGGGCAGGAGCACATGCTTTGCAGGTGAACGACCTGGGTTCAACATTCAGCACCTCAGGGTTTCCTAGGCACTATGTACTTTTCCCCCTTCACGGCCCCCCCTCCCCAATCTATAGGGCTGATTGCTGGTTTTGCTAAAGGACTCCGTAATGAGAAGGTAAGTGAGAGTCTGTGTAAGGATTACTCTCCTCCCAGAGAAGGGTTTTTGGTTATTTGTTTGTTTCTGGGATCAAACTGGCGATGCTCAGGAACCACTGGCTTTGCACTCAGGAATCACTCCTGGTGTGCTCTCGGCACCACGTGGGATTGAATCTGGGTCCACCACATGCCAGGCAATCACCTTTTCTGCTGTACTCTCTCTCCAGCCCCCTGCCCCACCGAAGTTCATTCTTAAAGTTCTAGCACAGTTAGTTCCCCCACCTCAACGCCAGGGTTGCACCGCAGGGCCTCAGACACACAGGGCGCACACTCTAGCACTAAGCCACCTCCTGGAAATTTTAAGAGTGAAGTTTGAGTGCAATTTGGAGTAAGATGCCTCTGGAGGCGACGTCGATCAGAAAACAGAGCTTCAAGGCATAAAAAGCAGATGTACCCACAGCCTTTCCAAACCAGACCTCTGTGCCCAGCTGGACACACTCACCATGCTTTGTAAAAGGCGTCCCTGAAGCTTAGCCACCCTGCCAAGGGGCAGAGCTGGTGCAGGGAGGAGCCTGGGAAGGGAGTGTTCTTTCCTGGAGCTAGTTGGGGGTGAGTCAGGTCAGGTCCCTCCTATAGGAGAGCACTAGGCCGAGTCTCAGGCAGAGCCATTATTCTGTGGGGAGACATGTGTGAGTGGAGTGCCAACAGAGAAAAAGCTATGACAGTATCTTGTCCACGCCCAGTATCTGGATGGCACATTATTGTCTATTGAGCATGGATGGGTGGATGGATAGATGGGCAGTGGTGTATGGATTTGTGCATGGCTGATGGCTGATGGGATGATGGATGATGGATGGAAGGTGAGTTGATGGATGGGTGGATGGATGAATGAAAGGGGGATGGATGATGGATGGAATTGTGGGTGGATCATTGGATGGATGGATGGGTGGGTGAGTGATAGATGGGAGGTCCGATAGATGAGTAAATGGATGGGTGGGTGGGTGGATGATTGAGTGGATGGATGGATGGGTGTGTGATGGATGGGAGGTCAGACAGATAAATAATTGGATGGGTGGATGGATAATTAGATCAGTGAGTGGGTGGCTGATAGAATGGATGGATGGATGGATGGATGGATGGATGGATGGATGGATGGATGAGTGGGTGGGTGATGGATGGGGGATGGATGAATGGGTGGGTGATGGATGGATGGGTGATGCGTGAGTGGTCAGATAGAAGGATAGATGGGGGGCTGGCTGGATAACTGGGTGGGTGAATGGATGGAAGGTGGGGTGATGGGTGGATACAGTGAGTGTGTGCTGGATGAATCAAGATAGGATGGATGAACTGTCACATGCACGAATGCACTTATGTGTGCTCACCTCCACCTCCGTCGCCTCTTTCTGAGTCAGATACCAGCAGCCATTGTGCTGGTGCGGGATCCCTGAGCACTTCTGTCTAGCCATGGGAAGCCTGACACTCTGGGCTCTGTTCCAATCCTGCTCCTCTTCATTTTTAGCTGGGTGACCTGGGCGGGTCAGTCCTTCACTCCTCCACATCGTCGCCTGTCCCAGGAGTAGGATGTCTGACGTTATGCTACCAGGAGGTCTCCCAGTAGGTCGTTCGAGAGCTTCCCCGATCACCCCAGTTCTCGCTCAGCGTCCCCGCATGGCCGGGCAAAGTGTCCTGCTGAGAAACAGCTCAGCTGTGGGGCCCAAATCACCCAAAGTGGCTTGGTCACTGCAAGGGGAGCTGACCAGGGGCCCCAGTGGAAGGTTGAGGTGCCCAGAGCTCAGGATGACAGGAGGGGACCAGATCCTCGACCAGGTGGACGAGATGAGCTAGGGCAGCTGCCCACTCGTGTGAGGCCCCGGGGAAAGCACAGAGCCTGCCCATGCCCCTTCTGCCTCTCCGAACTCCCAGCACCTTACCACCACCCTCAGCTCCTGTTTCCTGTTTCCGGGCCCCTCCGTCACCCCTATCCTGGTTCAATGTGTCTGCTGTGCTGAATCCCTTGGTACAATGTGGAGCACTGAGAAGGCCCAGGATGAGGGGCCTGAGTGATAGGACAGCGGGAAGGGAGATTGCCTTTCATGGGAACAACCCAGGTTCGATCCTCGGCATCTCATATGGTCCCCCGAGCACTGTCAGGAGTGATTCCTGAGTGCAGAGACAGGAGTGACCAGTGCTCGCTTCAGCAGCACATAGACAGAGCCAGAAGTGACCCCAAAAACAAACAAACAAAGGAACAAATGAAAGGACTCTTGTGTGTGGCTTGTAGTGGGTGCTGCAGATGGTGGCGTGTGAGCCTGTCAGGGCTCCAGCACTCGCGGGTCCTGGTTATTTTCTCTGCCTAATTCCTGGGCACCTCCCACACGATTCTCTTATTTAATGTTATTTCTGCCCTTTCCCATGGCAACTCGCTTCACAGTGATGAATGTGAGGACTTATTTTGAATACTCTCTCTGATTACAGAAGTTCTCTGTTATCGTGGAAACTGATCACATAGAGATGAAACTGGAATGAAGTGACCTTTCGTCTCAAACAGAGATGACCTTTGTTTTCCCCAAGGGGCTGTATTTCTCTGTAGTTTTTTCTTAATGTGTCTCTTCTTAGAGTTGATATCATACAGCATGATATTAAATCATGAAAATTTCCAACTGCTATTTAGACTCTATAAAAAACATTGAATGTCAACAGGATATTTTTTGTTTTATTTTGGGGGCCACTCTGGTGATGTACAGGGGTTACTCCTGGCTCTGCACTCAGAAATTACTCCTGGATATGCTCAGGGGACCATATGGGAAGCCGGGGATAGAATCGGGGTTGACTGCATGCAAGGCAATGGCCCTCTCTGCTCTGCTATGCCTTTGGCCCTCTCATGATTTTATTCGTTATATTTTTAACAACCTTAATGAAGTTAGGTAAACTTTATACAAAGATATCTATCCAAATTATAAATATATACTTTTTCGCTATTGTGTGTGTGTGTGTGTGTGTGTGTGTGTGTGTGTGTGTGTTTCTGGGGATCAGATCTTAGCATAGAGTTTCTACTGATGAACCACATCCCTGGCCCCCAAATTAATGAACTGTCTTTTCCAATGTAAAGGACTGTGAATGACTTTCATAATCCAAAGGAGAGTTCAGGAGTGACTGAGGGTAGTGCTCAGGGGACCAAATGTGGTACATGGCTATTAGTTTACTTGTTCCTTAAAACAAAGTCCTCAGAAGGGATTTTTGTTTCAAAGACCCTAATCACTGGTGACTTATTTCAAGCAATTCTATCATCTATACAGTGGATGGAAGTTTCATCCAGCAAACACTTGGATCAGATCCTTAAAGAGGATGGTTTATTTCCGTATCTAGAATGCACAAATAAACTGCCACTGAGAAAGTCCCACCCGAGTTTTCCCCTGCTAACTTGGTTGAAGTGGACGTGAAACGGGACCACATTCCCTCCTCCGTAGCACAGCTGGAGAAGGGAGTTGCTTTATATTCGAAATACCCCCCCTCCCCCCATGATGTTGTAGTCTGTCATTTGGCTGTGTGTCTGAAGAGCTCGAGTGCTTTTGGAGCTTGACTGCGGGAAGATTTCATTGTTTTAGTTGCACGGATTCCATAAAACACTCGCTAAGCTTTTCCCAGCCTGGGAGATGGCAAACACCCAACACGCTCATTTTCATGGCTGTGCAGTGAGCCAAGACAAGGAAGCCTCTTGCCGGATCGGCTCATTGCATAACCGCTTGGACACGTGTTGAGAAAGTTCTCGGGGGAAGCCATCTTCCCAAATAAGGGAAGAGCATCCTAAGAGCTCCCTTAGTGATGTGAGAATCAGAGATCAGGGGCCTTGGTCTGTTGGGGACTAGCGCAGACTGGAACCTCCTTGGCGGGTCTCTGGGAGGTGTCCTGTGTGGTTGGTCCTGACTGTGTTTGGTTGGTCCTAACTGCATCCGGTGGGTCCTTACTACGCTGTTCTTTCCTCCCAGAGATAGATTACTGCGCATCCCGGGACCACGGCTGTCAGCACGAGTGTGTGAACACAGCCGACTCCTATGCCTGCAGCTGCCTGAAAGGTTTCTCCCTGAACCCCGATGGGAAAACCTGCAGAAGTAAGTGGCAGTGGGGGCTGGGGAAGGGTTTGTTCTGCCCGTTGCCTCCAGTGCTGCCCTTCCTTGCAGACCTTCGGCAGCGTCGGCTCGTGCCCAGCGAGTGTGTCTATGAACATTCCCCGCCCCCTTCCAGCACCCCACCCTGTGCCAGGGATGCCTTTCATAGAGATTAAATCCACCCCTTCTGGCTTGCAGCCGCGGCTTCTTTGATCTGCAGGAAGAAAATGAGAAGCTTGGGTGGGAGCAGGAGAGATAGCACAGAGGGTAGGGCGCTTGCCTGCCACTCGGCTGACCCGAGTTCGATCCCTGGCGTCTCATCCAGTCCCCTGAGCTTTGCCAGGGGTGATTCCTGAGCACAGAGCTAGTGGGAGTAACCACTGAGCATCGCTGAGTGTGGACCCCAAAACAAACAACAACAGCAGTAAAAATCTTGGAACTCTGAAGCATTCAAGGAAATGTGGTTCAGTGGGCTGAGCCCGAGGCCATGCTGAGTGACCCAAATGCCCATCATCTGGCGTGGCCAGGGCTTGACTGGGGCATCTGGGGTGAGGACCCCAGAGGGTTCTCAGTGCGACTGGCCTGGAGAGACCGGGAAACAGGAAAGCTGGCAGGACAGACTCTCCTCTGTCCGCCGCTCTTGAATTCTCAACAGCCTTTGGCACAGCATGTATTGAATGAGGGAGTGAATGAAACAGAGACTTGTCAGCCTGGAGAAATTGCAGCCCTTATTTGACTTATGCTCCTTAATCTTGCTAGAAGTTGGCCCCTGGGAGCTATGCGTGCTGAGATTTCTTTATTTCCTTTCGTTTCTCAAAAAGTCTTCCTAGTGCTGGGGCGGGAGCGACCATCCAGTGGGTAGGGCACTTTCCTCACACACTGTCAGCCGCATCTCATATGGTCCCCTGAGCAGTTCCAGGAGTCATTCCCGACTGCAGAGCCGGGAGTAGCCCTGAGCACCACCAGGGGTGGCCCCAAAACCAAACCAAACCAAAAAAAGTATTTTATTTTTCCTTTTATTTTCTTTTTGGGTCACAGCCAGCGATGCACAGGGGTTACTCCTGGTTCATGTACTCAGGAATTACTCCTGGCGGTGCTCATAGACCATATGGGATGCTGGGAATCGAACCTGGGTCAGCCGCGTGCAAGGCAAACGCCCTACCTGCTGTGCTATCTCTCCAGCCCTGTGGTGTTTTTTGTTTCTGTTTTCTTTTTGGGTCACACCCAGCGATGCACAAGGGTTACTCCTGGCTCTGCACTCAGGAGTTACTCCTGGCGGTGCTCGGGGAACCGTATGGGATGCTGGGAGTCGAACCCGGGTCGGCCACGTGCAAGGCAAACGCCCTACCTGCTGTGTTATTGCTCCGCGCCCCCCCCCCCCGCCCCAAGTCTTTCCATTCCCGATGCACACACAGCTACTTATATTGTCCTTTGTGGTTCAAAGAACTCTCTAGAACTCCCATTCAAGGTTTTCTGTTTTGGGTTTTGTTTTGTTGTACGGTGCCAGGGACCAAATCCAGATCCTCACACATGTCATGGCATGATTTCAGCATCTCTGGATGTTGTCCTTTTCCCACCAGATCCCCGTGGGGGAACACAGATGGCAGTGCTCAGGAGCTACTCCTGGTTTGGTGCTCGGGGGTTGCTGGGACTCCACCCCAGGTCTCCTGCAGGCAACACCCAAGCTCCAGTCTCCAGAGGCTTCTCCCTGGGCCCAGGCGTACATGCTTCTCTGTTCCCTGGCCACTCCCTGGCCACAGGTGTGCTCATCTTCGCCCTGCCTGACCCTAGGCTCGGCCACATGCCTCCTTGGAGACATGTCAGGAATCATGTCACTGAGTCTGGCCAGGCCACCCTGTGGAGGCGGTTCAGCCCGCGCTCAGCGTTCGACCCGTGTGCACTGGGCATGGAGCAGGTCCTGTCAAGCTGAGCCTGTCCTACATAAGAGCAGCCCCACAGCCTGCCGGATGCAGACCCCGAGAAAACACCAGCATTCCGCGGAGGTTTGGACTGGGAGCAGGCAGGACATGAAAACAATTAGAGGGAGAATTTTCCACCCGACCACACATGCATACAATGTGGCGGAGGGCTCTTTCTTCCCACCGGCCCACCCCTCCCGGGCAACGGACACCTTTTCCTCGGCCTGAGTGTGTCCGCAGCTGTCTACACCCAGGGAAATCACTTACAGGCAGGCGTGTGTGTGGCCTCAAGGCTTGCAGTGTGGGGACAGTGCGCCTGATCCTCCTTGTGGGTGCAAGCAGGACCGTGTGGTCCAGACGGAGCGGGAAGGAAACCCGGAAGCCCTGTATTCATCAGAGGAGTCCCTTAGAAGTTTCTGGGTTTTTTGTTTTGTTTTGTCTTTTTGGGTCACACCCGGTGATGCTCAGGTGTTACTCCTGACTCCGCACTGAGGAATTATTCTTGGTGGTGCTCGGAGGACAATATGGGATGTCGGGGATGGACCCAGGGTTGGCGGCATGCAAGGCAAAGACTCTTCCTACTGGGGCTGGAGCAATAGGGCAGTGGGTAGGGCATTTGCCTTGCACGCGGCCAACCCGGGTTCGATTCCCAGCATCCCATATGGTCCCCTGAGCACCGCCAGGAGTAACTCCTGAGTGCAGAGCCAGGAGGAACCCCTGAGCATCGCCAGGTGTGACCCAAAAAGCAAAAAAAAAAAAAAAAAACCAAAACAAAACAAAAAAACTCTACCTACTGTACTAGTTATTGCTCTGTGCCACCTTAGAAGTTTCTGGAAGCCCTGCACCTGATACTGTTCAAGTTTGCTGTCCCCTCTGCAGTGGCCTCCTCCTGAAGAGACGCTTGGGGTACTCGGTCTGAGTCCGACCTCTGCCTCTCAGATAGGCAGGCAGGCAGGTGGCCACGTCCACTGAGCTTCTCACACACCCTTGTCCACACCTGTTCAGCCACGCTGGCCCCGTTTTCTCTCCAAGAAAAAATAGAATTCATTTCTCACACCCTCTGTCCTCATTCGCCCTCGGCCCCACGCCCCACCCTGCCGTTGCATTTTCCACTGTCTTCGCTGCAAAGCATCCCGAGGGCGGCCCCTGACTCAGAGTTTGCGCTCGGTCCATGAGGGCAGACAGCTGGAGCCGGATGCAGCCCGGCGTCCCTCTGGAGCAGGCCGTGGAGCGGGAGAGCAAGGGAACGGGGCCGCAAGTCTGGAGTTTGTTAGCGGCGTCTCGGGATGGCGAGGGCACTGCAGACTCCAGCCATCAGCACGTTGGTGGGTGGACACAGCCCACTGTCATTTCAGAGGCCTCTGAGGCCATCCCGTTAAGCTGGGGCAGAGGAAAGCGAGTTCAGGGCGGGATCCTGCAGAGAAGGCTCTTGGCTAGGGTTTGTCCTTCCTCCTCATCCAGACATAGAATGAGGATGTGTCTTTTCCTTCTAGAAAGTGCCATCAGTGATGTCAGGCGGCTGGCAAGGTCCAGGTGGGCCAGGCTGCCTGTTCTGGAGCCTGGGCAGAATGGGGTGGGGAGGGCCGGAGGAGGGCTCCGGCTGGCACCCCCAGGGCTCCCCGGAGCTGACTCCAGCTCTGTGGAGGGCGATGGAGAAGAGACCCCAGACACAGTTCCCGCTTGGCCCCCTGGCTTGGGTGACCCTGGCCATGCCGCTTCCCTGGTCTGGACCTGCATCTCCTCCTCCGGACCCCCGGTCTCTGCAGCACTGCAGGCCTTGGGGTTGGCGTGGCCCCCCACCCTGCAGTCTCTTGTCTCCTGCCCTTCTGTCCAGCAGGAGTGGACAGTCTCAAGTCCCACTGAACTTATTCCACGCCCCTCCCTTTCAGGCAAAGCCACGCAGTGCTGACTGTGGCCGGCACTTCACAGTCCGAGGGAAGAGGCCAGAACGGCTGTAGGATTGGGGCTGGAGCGATAGCACAGCGGGGAGGGCGTTTGCCTTGCATGCCGCCGACCCGGGTTTAATTCCCAGCATCCCCTATGGTCCCCCAAGCACGGCCAGGAGTAATTCCTGAGTGCATGAACCAGGAGTAACTCCTGTGCATCGCTGGGTGTGACCCAAAAAGCAAAATAATAATAATAATAATAATAATAATAATGGCTGTAGGGTGCATAGCACACGCCCTAGTAACCCTGGGCTGAAGGGAGTGGGAGGGGGTGCATGTGTGTCCCAGCCCCACACGGGAGGAAACAGGACTGCGAAGGGCCAGGGGGAACAACCCTCTGCTCTTAGACTTGTTCTCAGTATAGCCAGGGAAACGATGCTTTGGAACTGGCGAGCACTCAAGGGGTTCTGTGTCTCTCAATTCCATGATCCTGCGTGTCAGTCTTCTCTTTTCTTTTCTTTACCTTTCTTTTTTTGGGGGGGGTTCTTTTTGGGTCACACCCACCAATGCTCAGGGGTTACTCCTGGCTCCGCACTCAGGCATTACTCTGCTCGGGGGACCGTATGGGGTGCTGGGGATCGAACCTGGATCCGTGGCATGCAAGGCAAACGCCCTCTCCTCTGTCCTGCCACTCCCTCTTTCTTTCCTTAAGGCCTTGCTCGCTTTCCAAAAAGTGTGCTGGGCATCTCTCCCTGTGGACCTGGGACCATGTGGGAAGCTGGGGATTGAACCTGCTGGCCCTAGGGTTAAATTCTTTTTCTAAAATTTTATTTTCATAAGGTTGTTCATATTGATTGATTCCATTCTATATATCAACACCAATCCCACCATCATTAGACTTCCTATCACCCTTACCCCTTCCCACCACCATTATTTCGGATTTTCCACCACCATTCAAGCCTGCCAGCCACAGACAGATTCTAGATAACTTATTTTCTATCATTTATTACGAATATCAGGAGAGGTCGTGCGGCAGCAAAAGCGACCACCACGGGCTCCTAGAATTCTAAAGATGTAAGCGATTGGGGTCCAGAGACTTCTGAAGGGAGCGAATCCGTTCTGAGATTCATTTGTGAGTCTCTGGATCAGGCCGGTAGTGCTTAAATCTGGCCCAAAGGCAGTTCATGGGCGTGACAGCCAGGACCCGAAGGGGCGGGGAAATGGGAAGGGCATCATCTCCGCCACCATGTGGCCTGGCCTCTGCAGAGCCCGGTCCCGCATACCTGGGTTTTTCTTCTGAAAGTCTGTGCCCACGGGGGTTCGACTGGAGTGGGTGGAGAGGGACACCCACTCCATCTAAGGAGCCTGGGTGAGATTGGCTCGGCACGGGGTCCGAAGAAATCTCCGGGAGCTGCTATCTTCCAGGATTCACTGCCTCAACTAGGGTTAAATTCTTTTTATTTTTTTTTATTTGTTTGCTTTTTGGATCACACCCGGTGATGCTCAGGGGTTACTCCTGGCTCATGCACTCAGGAATTACTCCTGGCGGTGCTCGGGGGACCATATGGGATGCTGGGAATCGAACCTGTGTCGGCCATGTTGGCTGCACGCAAGGCAAACGCCCTACCCGCTGTGCTATCACTCCAGCCCCTAGGGTTAAACTCTTAAGAAACAATCTGTCGCAGAGAGAGACAGACAGACAGACACACAGACATAGACAGACAGAGAGAGTACAGCTGGTAAGGTGGTTGTAGCATACAACCCAGGTTCGATCCCTGGTACTACATCTGGTCCACTGAGCAGTGCCAGGAATATCCCTGAGTTCCTGCAGCTGCATGTGGCCTAACTCCCCACCCTGCCGAAAAACAAGGTAAAGGTAAAGGTAAAGGCCCTCCCGTTGATCGTCGATTTGCTCGAGCGGGCCCAGTAACGTCTCCATTGGAGACTTTGTTGTTACTGTGTCTGGCATATCGAATACTCTCGGTAGCTTGCCGGGCTCTCTGACTGCTGAAAAACAAAAACAAAAAAAATCTGTCATTGATAGGGAGAGAGTACAGGGATCAGGGATCTATGCGGACCTGACTTGAACTGTGGCATCGCGTGGTCCCCTGATCATCACTGGCGTGGCCCTGGTGGGCCCAGCCATCACGTCCTTGGGACCTGGCATCTAACCACTCAACCCAGTTGGCAGAGTATTACTGGGTGTGGCAACTGGGCCCCTGAGCATTGAACAACAGCAACAACAACAAAATTGTGGTTGGATTGATGACTTTACAGGGAAGTTTCCTCTTGAACTGCTTTAGAACTTTCCTTCTGTCTACTCTGTGATTGGAACAAACGGGGAAGCCCGTGCATGGCTTCTGAGGCCGTTTAAAACTACTTAACTTTTCCTCAGGGGGCCCTGGGGATTCGTGATGTCAGAATGATGATTCTTTTGGGGGGAGAGGGTGATGAGGAAGGTTGGACCACACCCAGCGGTGCTCATGGTTTACTCCTGGCTCTGTCTTGAGGGTCACTCCTAGCAGTGTCTTGGGACCATATGTAGTCTGGGGGATCACACCAGAGTTGGCTGCATGCAAGGTAAGTGCCTTAACCCCAGAGCCCTCCCTCTCCACCCCCCCACCCCCTATTCTTTCTATCCTTTGGGACTTTGCAGTCTCCTGACGGCAGGAAGGCCGCCAGAAGTCCAGGCACCCACCGTATCCTCCTACTCTTAGGGCCAAAGAAGAAAGGAGACAGGGCAGAGAAAGCTTTGTCTTTTCAGAAAGGAAAATCTTTCTTCAGAGCCCCTATGAGCTTCTTCTCATTTTTTTTTTTTATGGAACTAGGTCAGCTTCCCATTCCTTTTTATTTTGGCAGGGGTGGGGTTCACACCCAGTGATGCTCAGGGATTACTCCTGGTTGTGCACTCAGGAAATACTCCTGGCGGTGCTGGGGGATCATATGGGATGCCAGGGATCAAGCCCAGGTCAGCTGTGTGCAAGGAAAACACCCTGCCTGCTGTGCTATCGTTCCGGCCCCTTCCATTCCTTTTTTAAAAATATTTTTTATTCTTATCCTGAAAATTGGGCTGGAGCGATAGCACAGCGGTAGGGCGTTTGCCTTGCATGCAGCCAACATGGCCGACCTGAGTTCGATTCCTCCGCCCCTCTCGGAGAGCCCGGCAAGCTACCGAGAGTATCTCGCCCGCGGGGCAGAGCCTGGCAAGCTCCCCGTGACGTATTCGATATGCCAGACACAGTAACAACAAAGTCTCCAATGGAGATGTTACTGGGCCTGCTTGAGCCAATCGACGAACAACTGGAGGACAGTGACAGGACAGTGATCCTGAAAATTTATTATTATAATACTTAAATCACATGCTTATAACATAAAACATTCCTGGTTTGCAGGGGAGGTGGGGGGGACAGATTCGGCTGTGCTGGAGACTCGAACAGGGTCATCTGCATGAAAGATAAGGGCTTCTCTTTCTCTATTGTCTCTGGCCCCAAATCTATTTTTTTTGGCTTTTGGGGGTCACACCCGGTGATGCACAGGGGTTATTCCTGGCTCTGCACTCAGGAATTACCCCTGGCGATGATCAGGGGACCATATGAGATGCTGGGAATCGAACCCAGGTTGGCCGCGTGCAAGGCAAACACCTTACCCGCTGTGCTATCTCTCCCGCTCCTCTGCGCCCAAATCTTTATGGTTTTGACTTGCAAAGTTATTGTACCTCATCATCACCAAAATACCCAAGACCCTCCACTGCTGTCCTCATGTCCTCAGGTCACTTCTGCCTCCCCTCAAGCCCAGTGCTCTCCCCTCTGCACGGGGCATGGGGGGAGGCCTCAGCTCCCACTTTCTCCCCTTCCCACATCTTCCAGGAACCCTGCCCTGAGGGCGCCAAGCACAGCAGTTGTGCCCTGCAGAGGAAGCCTGCCCTCATCTGGAAATGCCCAGCTAGGATCGAGAGGAAGAAATAGCAGGGATGGGAGCACTTGCCTCCCCAGGAGTGAGCCCTGAGCACAGAGCCAGGAGTCATCCCCGAGCACAGAACCAGGAGTCATCCCTGAGAACAGAGCCAGGACTGATCCCCGAGCACAGAGCCAGGAGTGAGCTCTGAGCACAGAACCAGGAGTCATCCCTGAGAACAGAGCCAGGAGTGAGCCCCAAGCACAGAGCCAGGAGTCAGCCCTGAGCACAGAACCAGGAGTCATCCCTGAGAACAGAGCCAGGACTGATCCCCGAGCACAGAACCAGGAGTCAACCCTGAGCTTCACTCAGGGTCTGTTACTGGTGTTGTCCAGTAACAAACAAACTGAAAATGTGGGATGATGAGAAGATGAACAGACGCTTCTCTGAAAAAGATGGAGGCCACACAGATGCCCAGTAGGCGTGAGAAAACATGTTCATTGTCCCTTATTAGCAGAAAACACAAATCAGAGTGACAGAAACCATCGCCCACCAGTGAGAATGGCCAATATTAAGGAAAAAAAAGATACCAAAACCCAAACCCAAAGATGACCACAAGCCGTGCTGGCAGAGAAGGGGGTGGGAGAGGAAGCTCGTTACTGGGGTGGGGCCGTCTCTGCTCCAGCCTTGCTGGACCTGGAAGCAGCATGGAGACCCCACAGAATGGCCAGCGGGAGCTACGTGTGACCCAGCGGCTCTTCTTGGCAAGCACCCGCGAGCACCGAGACATTCGTTTGGAAAGATTCCCGTTCCGAGACCAGGCGAGGAGGCCTGGGTGCCAGAAGTGGCTCTGTCCAGGCCGTGAGTCAGGCCGGGGGCTGCCGTGGCTGGTCCCATGGAGACAGCGTGGTGTCAGGAGCACTCTGGTGTGTCCTACCCCCCGGAATGGCCAGCAGCGAGTTACTGGGCTCTGGCGCAGCCGCGGAGACTGGGAGGACCTCCCCCCACTGTGCAGGCCAGTTCACTTGCTTTCTCTGTAAGGCTGCAGATCTCCAGCTCCTCCTAGCCTGCCCCAGGCAGAGGCCAAGCAGCCGCGTCTCTACAGGAAAGGGGGTCACTGCATCTCCATGATCAAGGGGGTCACTCTGTCTCTGTGGCAAAGGGGGTCTCTGTGTCTCTGTGGCAAAGGAGGTCTCTGAGTCTGTACGGTACAGGGGGGTCTCTGTGTCTCTACAGTATAGGGGGTCTCTGTGTCTCTGTGGCAAAGGGGGTCTCTGTGTCTCTACGGTATAGGGGGTCTCTGTGTCTCTATGGTAAAGGGGGTCGCTCCTGGGCAGCCGGTTCCTCTGCTTTCACCTCCCCGAGAGACAGGCTTCTCCCTGTCCCCAGAGTGAGGTGCAGCTGTCCCCTTGCCCTGTCCCTGCCTCTCAGGCCTCGCTGGGCATCGCCAGATGTGCCCATGTTTCCTCTCCTGGAAGCTCTGCCAAGTGCAGCTCCCTGTGCTGTGCTCGGAGCCCTCGCGAAGGCAGGGTGCTTAAAAGATGGTGGACTGGACTCCAGGGAAGGGGACAGAGTGGGAACTAGAGCACCCCCCCCCCACTCCAGGAGTAGGCGTTAGGCTCTCTGGGCTTGGAGCCCCTGAATATGACCACCAGCGACCGGGGCTCAGCACCCCCCAACACAGAGCCTGAGACAGGATCTCCCTCCTCAGGGATCAACTACTGCGCCCTGCACAAGCCCAGCTGCGAGCACGACTGTGTCAACACGGAGGGCGGCTTCTCCTGCCGCTGCCGCCGGGGCTACACACTGGACCCCAATGGCCGGACCTGCAGCCGTGAGTGTTGGGGTAGGGGGTGAGCAAGCAGAGGCTGCCAGCCGCCTCCGGGGGCTGGGTGGTCCCACACACTCAGCTCTGGGGAGCACTGAGCCCGGCTCTGCCACACTTGAGCCCTCGAGTCGGGCCTTGGACATTTCGCGTGGCTTTGTCAAGCTTTATCAAAAAGTGGACGTAGGGGTTGGAGAGGAAGGACGGGGACTAAGGCCCTGCTCTAAGTGGCCTCGGGTTCATTCCCAGCACCACGTTTCCCAAAAACAACACCAGGGGTCACTGCTGAGCACAGAGCCAGGAAGACCGTCTGAGCACCCCCAGGCACGTGACCTGCCACCCACACCCCCCAGTGTGATCTCTTTGAAAGTGGGGGCTGGAGCGATAGCACAGCGGGGAGGGCATTTGCCTTGCACGCGGCCGACCTGGGTTCAATTCCCAGCATCCCATATGGTCCCCCGAGCACTGCCCGGATAATTCCTGAGTGCATGAGCCTTGAGTAACCCCTGTGCAACGTCAGGTGTGACCCAAAAAGCAAAAAAAAAAAAAAAAAAAAGTGGAGGTGATCTCAGGGATCATGCAAGGGGATGGCCAGGACCGCCACGGGCAGCCCTTGCCCAGCCCCCCACGCACAGAATCACAGAGGGTAGCTGTTACTCCGTGGAGCCCGGGTGCCCGGTGTCCCCGGGGCCCAGACTGTGGGATGTCGTGGGCCTCGGGCTCCGGGCAGCTGAGAACGCGGCTGTCTCGCGTAGGGACCTCTCCTCATTGTGTCATTCCCAGCAGTCGCCGGGCGGTGATGTCAGCGCACGGAAACTCGCCACCCCTGCCAGCTGGCGGCCCTGGGTTTTTTATGAGGCACCGTCTACCCTGACCCAGGCCGGCAGAGTGGGGGCTGCCCACGCTTGGGGGTGTGGGGAGGGGGTGCTCGGGGACGTGCCGGGCACAGACGGCCTCTGTGGGCAGTGGCACACATCTGCCCCAGCCCCGGGCACAGACATGGACTGTCAGCAGGGACGACAGAGCAGCTGTTTAGGGCTAGAAACAGAAGAAGCTGCTGGAAACCCCTGCATCTGCAGAGGGAACAAAGGACCCCCTTGGCCCTCCCGAGATTGCTCCAATGGAGACCAGGGAACCTTTGAACTCCCCAGTTGGTACCCAAGTCCGTGCCTGATGAGGCATTGGTCTCTGAGGGCTGATGGATGCTGGGGGCAGGAGGCCAGTAAAGAGACACCCCGGACCTGTGACTGGGGGTCCCAGGCAGATGGACACTGGCTGACTGGGTCCCCTACTGTCCCCAGGAGCCGTGGCCTCCTTGCCCCTGCCCCATCTGCCAGGAGGGGCTCAGAGAAAGGTCAGAGAAGAAGGAATCATTTTATTCTCTCTGGAATCGAATTTTTTTTTAAATCCTAACAATCCTGAATAATGCAAATCAGTAACGAGCTCATGAAAAAAAATGAAAAGGAAGAAAGAAAGTAACAATCAAGCCCTTTCTGTCTAGTGTCCCTAGGAAAAGTCATAAGTTCTGCTCCCCCAGGTCCTTGCCAGCAAGCCTAAACATTCACTCCCTAGTTCATTCCTTTTTTTTTTTCTTTTGGGACCACCCAGGGCCTTGCCAGGGCATATGCAGTGTCCGGTTTGATCCCGGGGGCTCTTGCGTGCAAAGCCTATGCGCCAGCTCTTTGACCCCTCCCCTTGGCCCCCCCTCGCCCCTCATTCACTCCCTTTACTCCCAAGAGACAGCCACATTCTGTCTCTAAAGGTGGAGAAACTGAGGCACAAGGTAATCACTTTCCCGGGGCTCCCAAGACAGGTCATGACAGAATCGGATGTGAAGTCACTCACCTAGTGCCCGAGATTCTGCCTGCATGGGCGGCAGGTGGGATGTTCCACAAGGCCCTCTGGGTATTCGAGAGGACACTTGGGCGTCCTGAACGAGACCCCAGTCACAGAAGCCTCTGGAAGTGCATTCCCCCTGGAGGAGATGTGGGAGCAGCTCACCACAGCAGCACTCGGGGATCCCAGCCCAGCACCACAAGCAGCTGCTGCCCTGGCTAGGAGGGGTCGCCTGCTCCTCAGACAGGACTCGGAGCTCTGACACGGTGTGCTTTTTTGTGTGTCTACACCCAATGGCGCTCAGGGCGGATGCCTGGCTCGGTGCTCAGGAATAATCACTCATGGTGGTGCTCAGGACCAGATGATGATGGGGATTGAACTGCAGTCGGCAGTGTGCAAAGCGGAGTCCTCCCTACTGTGCTCTCTCCCTCCAGAATGACCTTTTTTCCCATTTTTGGCGGTAGGCGGTCACACCCAGCGGTGCTGAGGGCTGACTCCTGGCTCTGCACTCAGGAACTCCTCCTCCTGATACTGTTGGGGGGGGGGCGGGAAGGGCACCACCTGGGATGTCAGGGGTGGCACCTTGGTGGGACGTGTACAGGGCAAAAGCCCACCCTAGAACAACTTTTTCATGAAAACGATCATCTGCAGTGGGTCCTGCCCCAGGGCTTGTCACGTGTCACCCTGCTTTCTCCCGAGACCCCACAAGAAAGCAGACTCCATCCTCCCCACACATCCCAGCCTCAGGAGCAGAGTGCAGGCCACCGGGGGCTAGGAGCTGGGTGCTGGGCTTGAGCACCAGGCCTGACCGAGGGCAGAACCCTGCGCTGTCTGCCCAGCTGTCCACTGGTGGGCGAGCCCTTGCCCCTGACCTTAGAGACCACTCCCGCCCGCCAGGGTGAGCCACCTACCCCTGCCTGGGCCGCAAGGCTGCAGCGGGTGCGTGAAGACCCCCGCCCAGCAGCAAGCCAGCGGGTTCTGCACCTTCGAAGGCTCGGGCTGGTGTGGCCGGGGGTAGGGGGCGCCGCGAGGGGCCGCTGGGAGGACCCCCAGCTCTTTCTGCACGGCTCCCCGTCATGTCACCACGCAGGGGTGGACCACTGCGCCCAGCAGGACCACGGCTGCGAGCAGCTCTGCCTCAACACCGAGGACTCGTTCGTCTGCCAGTGCTCCGAGGGCTTCCTCATCAACGACGACCTCAAGACCTGCTCCCGTGAGTCCCGCTCCCCGAACTGCCCCCCGCCACCACCCAAAGGGGAGGCTCCCGGCCACGTGGGTGCACGTCAGCGAGGGAGCGCGGGGCAGAGCGTGGGAGTGTATGCGCGCTGCAGCCTGGGCGCACGCGAACACGGGCGCCCGTGCACGACACCACGTGGGAGAGTGGGTGCGTGCGCTGCTTGGAAGCGTGGGAGCGAGTGATCGCACGCGCGTGGGAGCGGCGGAGCGTGGGAGAGTGCACGCATGCGCGCCGCAGCGTGGGAAAACAGCGAGCACAGGTGTGCATGCGAGGAGCAGCGCGCGTGAGACCGAGTGCGCGCAGGTGCGCTGCAGCGCGGCGCGAAGGGTGGGCGCAGGCCCGCGGCAGAGGGTGCCCCAGCGCTCCACTTGCATCCGCTCCCCGGAGCTGGGGCCGCGTGCGGGTTCTGCGGGGCATTGCATGCCCGCAGGGGTGTGTGCGTGACGGCGACCGGCGGGTTTGCAGGGGTGGATCACTGCCTGCTGAATGACCACGGCTGCCAGCACGCCTGCATCAGCACAGACACGTCCTTCGTCTGCCGCTGCCCCGAGGGACACAGGCTCCGCGGGGACGGCAAGACCTGTGCCAGTGAGTGTTACCGGGGCTCTGGGGGGGTGGGGGCGGCGAGGTCCCGTGCACTGACCCCCTCGGGTCCTTGGGACATGCCTGCAGACTGACTGTTCAGGACCAAGCCTGCCCCTCGGCCACAGTGGTCTCTCCCTCTCTCAGAGAACTTTGCAGTTTTCCCTGGCTGCCCACCGGCTTAGATCTGGTTTAGGGGGTCACACCCTGCAGGGCTACCCTCAATTCTGTGCTGGGCTTGGCTCCCAGAGGTACTGGGGGGATGATCTGGGCTTCACACTGCAAGACTTGTGACCGGCTGCAGAGGTCCTCGTGGGTGCCCAGCACTGGAAAGTCGGTGTTCAAGAAAGAGCTGATGGGAGAAAGTAGGCTTATTCCCAGGTGGGTAGCCTGGGAAGATGGGGTGGGAGTGGGGGTCATGCCCCTAAGCATCCTACTCTTAGGCTGGAGTTGGTGGTGTGCTGTGGCCGGGCCAGTGGCAAGGTTGGTCAGTAGACAGCAGAGGGAATTGGGTCTGGGGGAGGGCAGGTCTGACCAGCTTTAGGAATCTTCTCAGGGGGGCCAGTGTGGGCTCTTCTCTGGGCAACAGAGTCCCAGGAAAGGCTGAGCTCCAGGCCGACCTCAGGGGCCTGCGTTTCCACCCCCAACCCCTAACTGGACCTGGTTCAGCATCAGATACGCCATGTTGGAGAAGGTCATCGAAGGCAGGGAGAACACGGGGCAGGAGCCAAGGGGCAGTGAGGGCCGCCTGCTAGTGCCTCCTGGTTGCGGGTACCTGGGCAGTGAGGCCCAGCCTGCTGGTGTCTGGGCAGTGAGGTCTGGTTGCTGGTGCCTGGGCAGTGAGGTCTGGTTGCTGGTGTCTGGGCAGTGAGGTCTGGTTGCTGGTGCCTGGGCAGTGAGGTCTGGTTGCTGGTGCCTGGGCAGTGAGGTCTGGTTGCTGGTGTCTGGGCAGTAAGGCCCAGCCTGCTGGTGCCTGGACAGTGAGGTCTGGTTGCTGGTGTCTGGGCAGTAAGGCCCAGCCTGCTGGTGCCTGGACAGTGAGGTCTGGTTGCTGGTGTCTGGGCAGTGAGGTCTGGTTGCTGGTGCCTGGGCAGTGAGGTCTGGTTGCTGGTATCTGGGCAGTAAGGCCCAGCCTGCTGGTGCCTGGACAGTGAGGTCTGGTTGCTGGTGCCTGGGCAGTGAGGTCTGGTTGCTGGTATCTGGGCAGTAAGGCCCAGCCTGCTGGTGCCTGGACAGTGAGGTCTGGTTGCTGGTGTCTGGGCAGTGAGGTCTGGTTGCTGGTATCTGGGCAGTAAGGCCCAGCCTGCTGGTGCCTGGACAGTGAGGTCTGGTTGCTGGTGTCTGGGCAGTGAGGTCTGGTTGCTGGTGTCTGGGCAGTGAGGGCTGCCCGCTGGTGCCTGCTCGCTTTCTTGCCCACCCTCCACCACGCCGCCAGCTTGAGGCTATACAGAATCTGGTGTCTTGGCTCTTCCCTCCACTCCAGTCTGCCTAGAAGAATCTGCTGGTGCTGCACCCGAAAAACAGTATGACAGCCTCCCCACCCTCACTCCCTGCCATCACACTGGTTGTGCAAAAAGAGGGCCCCCTCGCCTTCCTGTCCCCGAGAAAGGCCCATATCAACTTCCCTCAGGCCGCTGGCACTAATGCGACAGGTTGAGATCCTGTGGTTTCAGTCAGTCCCGGGGGAAGGGGAGAAGCTTTCCTGCCCCACTCCACATCCTCTGGCTGCAGGCGAGGCGGGCAGAGATGACCCCTGGGCACGCTTCCCCGCAGCGAACTCTGGTCAGTGCTCAGTGGAGAGCCTTGTTTTGTTTATTTTGATGGTGGTGGGGTGGTGGGGGTGAGGGGCACACCTAGTGGTGCTCCGGGCTCCCTCCCAGCTCTGTGCTCAGGAATCATACCTGGTGGTGCAGGGGATGTCGCCAGGGTCAGCTCCGTGCACCGTCCCCTTTGCTCATGGTGCTTTCTCCTCCCAAGGCCTGTTCCCAGGTGGACCAAGACAGAGACTGAGAACATGGTCACATTGCAGGGGGCCGGGCCAGGAGCATCTTTGCAGAGGGCTGGGACATGTGGGGGCTCGGGGCCCGATCATGGAGGGCCACTGGGAGCAGCCACGCGGACTCTTGCTGTGAGCTGGGATGGGATACAATCTGGCTGGTCATTTTGATCAGTCAGCTCTCTGTATGGCTGGGACAGTGACCGTGGCCACCGTGCAGACAGGCATACTCCATAGCCCTGGGCAGGGGGCTGACCCCACAGCGGGTTGGTCTCACCAGGCGGCGGGGAGAAGTTTCTCGAGTTCAGGACAGATTCGCAGTCTTGGCCAACTGGATTATCTGGGTGACACGCCTGGTCCTCGTTGCCACCTGTCAGCTGCTACAGTCCGCACCTGAGCACTGTTTGGACCTGGGGGGCGAGTAGAGGGGACTCAGAGAAAGTTGGAGCTGCCAAGTGGCTTTTACCCTTGACCCCCATGCCGGCTGTGTGGCTGGGATGTGTTGGTTGTCACTTCCTGGCATCCTCGGGGAAGCCAACCCTCCCTTTATCTGCCCTGTCCTGCGACCTCTGGAAGCAGGTGTCCACTGGAGCCGAGGAGTGTGGAGGGCGCCTGCCAGGCTCACCCCGGTTCCATCCCCAGCACCCTCTGTGACCCTCTGATCTGAGTGGTCCTTGAGTGCAGAGCCCGGAGTAAGCCTTGCGCACTGCCGGGTGTGCCCCCAAGTCCCCCTTGCAGTCACATGCGGTCAGTTTGTATCCAATGGTCGCTTCTGTGATGCTGACCCCCAACCACCACCAGTGTCCTGGAGGGCAGTTGGCAGGGAGCTTGGGGAGGTGGCAGGGGCGCCCCACCCAGACACACAGTGCTCCCAGCCCAGGGTGGTCATGTCCGGCGCCCCCGTCCAGTACTAAGTGCCCAGGATTTCTGTGTGACTTTCTGTAGTTCACGGGGTTCAGTTGTGCATTTCCCAGCTCAAATGACAAAGAGCTTGATGACTTTGAGGGGACTCCCCTGCGAGCCACCTCCGACCTGACCAGCTCCGAGAGGCCCATGCAGCGCCCTCACCCGGGGACTCCGGCTCAGCAGGACCCGGGGAGCAGGCATGTGTGTGGGCACGTGTTGGCATGCAGTAAGAGGGGAGGGAGGTCTGATGGTGCTTACGCATCACCCCCCTCCCCTTTTGTTTTGAGACCACACCCCATGGTACTCAGGGCTCACTCGTACCTCTGTGCTCAGGAATGGCTCCTGGTCGGGCCCAAGGGACCATATGGGATGTGGGAGATTGAACCTGGGTCGGCTGCAGCAAGGCAAGCACCCTCCTCGCTGTGCTATCACTCCCATCCCGTTGTCTCTTCTGTGGGGAACAGAGAGCAGAGACAGGGTGCGCACCCAGCTCCCCTCCCTCCAGATCTGCCCGTGTGAGGGCCTCCGAAGGGTGCCCTGGCGGGGACCCAGTCGTACAGCACACGCTTCACGCGTGTGAGGCCCCACATTCCTTCCTGGGAAGGAAAGGGAAAGACCCAGCCACGTGCCACCCAGCCCCATGGCTCGTGAAGCATCGGGCAGATGGTACAGCGCACCAGCGAGGGCCTCTGAGAAATGCCAGCAGCCACAGGACTCTCCTCTCGGCGGGCAGACGGTCTCTGTGGCTCCCTGCCCTCCCCCACTTCGAGGGGGGTGGCCTTAATAACCCCCTGCACGGCGGCCCCCGCAGATGGGTGCCCACAGACCACAGACCCCAGTGGGGCAGACCCACAGCCCTGCGTGACTCACCAGCTGCAGAATCCAGATGTGGGAGGCCTGTCTCTGTCAGCCGTGGGCTACCCGCAACTCTGCCCACGCCTCCCCCCATCCAGCCCCCGCCCGCCCCTTCCAGCCCGCCTCTCCCTGTGACAGCGACGAGAACCTTCTTTAACGGGTTTTTGTCCGTTAAATTAGAAACAGATTTGTTCATGTCGTTTTGAGGATTTTGTTTCTAGGCCACCCTCGGCTGTGCTGTGGGCTTGCTCCCGATCCCGTGCTCAGGGTCACTCCTGACGGGTCTCGACGGAGCAGCCTCTGGGGGACGTTGAACTTGAGTCAGCCCCGTGAAGGGCAGGCGCCCTCCCCGCCAGGCTCCCTCCAGCCTCTGTTCATGTGTTTTGAACATGGTGGCTCGAGTCACATTTTTGTAGTTAAAATTTTTTTTTTAGCTGTGCTGTTTTTAATTTGTATTTGCATTTTTTATTTTCGGATTTGTTAATTATTATTATTATTATTATTATTATTATTATTATTTATGTGGAGTGTCGGGTTCCTCCTGGCTCTGCATTCAGGACCATACGGGATGCCGGGGATCAAACCTGGGGTGGCCTCATGCAGAGCATATGCCCTACTCATTGTACTGATGCTCTGGCCCCTTAATTTGTATCTTTTTTTTTTTGCCTTTTGGGTCACACCCGGCGATGCTCAGGGGTTCCTCCTGGCTCTGCACTCAGGAATTGCTCCTGGCGGTGCTCGGGGGACCATATGGGGTGCTGGGAATCGAACCTGGGTAGGCCATGTTGGCTGTGTGCAAGGCAAACGCCCTACCCGCTGTGCTATCGCTCCAGCCCCTAATTTGTATCTCAAGGGCTAGAGTGATCCAGGGGTTAAGGCACTTGCCTTGCGTGTGACTGATGTCTTTCTATCCCCGCATCCCGTATTATCTCTAAACACGACCCAGAGTGATCCTGGAGCACAGAGCCAGGAGCAGCTCCTGAACACCACTGGGTGTGGCCCAACACACCTGTCTGCGGGGGGTGGGGGTGGGGGGATGGCCACAAAGTGAAAGATGAAATTGTCTGGTCCACAATAGCTGGCACGGAATGATCTGGACACCTGGAGGACTCCCAGCAGGAGCTCTGGGCAGCCAGCCCTGCCCCCTGACAGTTTATTGGGACCATCTAAAAGACTTTGAAAAGATCTGGGGACTGGGAGGCAGCAGGGTGTGTGCAGGGACCCGAGATCCATCAGGCTCTGCTGGCCC